CCTGATTTACGAATAAATTCTTTACAAATCCTACCATGTGGATTCATGGATTTTTTTTTTCACATTCTGTCTCTCACAGTTGAAGTGTACCTCTGGTGCAAATTACTGACCTCTGTCATCATTTTAGGTGGGGGAACTTGCACAATCGGTGGCTGACTAAATACTTTTTTGCCCCACTGTATGTGGTGGTTGTGTTCTTTTTATGAATGTGCAATATTTTCAAAGCGCACATTTTGTGTTAATTATAATGTATTTGTATGGTTTTGTTTCAAACTGACGCGTTTTTAAAATCACTGCCAGTTTAAATGTTACCTATTACATCCTGAAAGGTTGTCCCACCTTCCGCGTAGCCCAGCCAGGTTTGTTATTTACGAATGTTCCACTAAAGGGTCTGTTCAGGTTTTTCCTTAACTTATGGTTTCTCTAAATCTGTGGAAAGGTCATGCTTAATCACTATGGTTACGACTCCCCCTCCCAGTGCCTGCTCAAGAGAGGACTTGTTTACCATCTCTGCTCCAGACTCAATAACATGTCAGTCATCTGGAAAAGAACCTCCCCTCCCAGCTGCTATTGGTCCAGCAGACAGCTAACAGTGTAAACCCTACCCACCTATATTCGGCACCCCCTCCTTCTCCCCTGAGCCCCACTGTGAATAATGAATGATTTCCTAGCTGTCTGTCGGTCTTCCTACTTATTCTAAATGACTCCGGGAAGACGCACTGAACTTTGATGTGCAGAATGACTTAAAGAATGAAACATTGCTTGTTGGATAATTTGAACGTTTCGGCATGACTGCACCTGGTTGGTTTAGGGTTAGTGTAACATTTTACCGCATTACTTATATTTTCACGCGTACTTCATCTTCAGAGGTGGCAGTGGCCAGCTGGCTGTAAACATGTCACCAGCCTTCCAGTGTAAACAGTGTAGTAGTCTACTTGCACAGTGTGCTCTCCGGCAAACAAGACATGACTCGCATTCAGATGAGGAGAATTGCTGCACTGCAATCCTCTTCCTCTCAAGTAATGCACCAGTTTGAACCAATAACATTGAACCTTCTCACCCATCAGACAGACACACACACACACCCTCCTGAAAACAAACAGTGTTGAAATTGAACCATCTTGTTATAAGATTAAAGCTGCTTTTTGGTTCATACAGTGTTGAGGTGAGTGCTGTTGGTTCAGTAGGGGGCTATGGGTGGTGGGAAACAAATGCACTTCCTATAAAATCTGTTGTATGCCTACATTTTTCTCACATTGTATTTGCATTTTCCATGTCTGTAAGATTTTCTCTCCTCTGACTGCTCTGTAATCGTGTTTGCAGCTAGTTGTGGAAGTTGTTAATAGGGATTAACATTCTCCTTGTTGAATTCTCCGTAGCCTGGAACATTCTGCAGATTCTTCTCATAGCCCGGCAGCTGGATAATACCTTTAGAACAAAAACTAAACTTGTCAGCCTGTCTCCCTATTAGCAATGCTTCCTCCCCCTGCTGCTGTATTTAATGGTGACTATAGCCAGGGCCTCGCCAGCTCCTCAGAAGTAGATTCCTCTGTGCGGATTGTTGTGCCATTTACTACTAATGAAACGAACCTGGCCACTCCTCGTGTCGCAGCGGTCTGGTGAACAGCGGGGGTAGGCTGTTGGTTGGCTCCGATGTTTGACCAGACAGTGTTTGCGGAGGGAGAGAGGAGGGTTGTGTAAGTACTGTGAGAGAGGAACAACATTATAAGGTCCCCTAACCCAACAATCAGCAATCTGACTTTTCTGCAGGGAGGTGGGGGTGGGATTTGCAAGTTTTGAAAAGGTTACTTAATGCAGTGTGTTCTCAAAAAGGGTCAAATCCAGACCTGCTGATGCTCCTGATGCATTTTAGTTCATATTAAACATTTACCCGGGGGACTACAAGGATGATGACAACTTATCTTAAGAGGAGACCCTTGTTAGGTAGTCCCTTTCCTTTGAAGTAGTGGAAACCTACATTACCCAGCATAGCTATGTGTAGAGAGCAGCAGCGTGGAAATAGGGCTGCATTACGACCATCTATAAATAGGGGATTGTATCCTTGATACCACGGGTTGTTTGGTCACGCAGTGAAACCGGGTCGACTTATATGGATTTAAGACAGTTACTCCCCCTCCTCGCCTCTGTCTGCTTTCCTCTGTAGGAAGGTATGCATGTTTGGGATTTTTTCTTCATTGAGGAGTTGTTTAAAATGATGCAGAAAGAAGCTCCAATAAGGCTCATTAGAGTTTGCTTTGGCTGCCCCCTTTTGGTAGGATTCCAAGAAAATGAAGCCACGCTGTGTTTTTTTTTCTTACTAAATGTGCAGCACCAGTTGGCCTGCTCTGGCATACTAGAGTCAGCATCATGTTTCTAATCAAATCATAGCTGCTACATGCGAGTATGTGAGTGTGTTGGCATTTGATGCTGTAGTTTAAAAAAAAGATCTTTGGTATTTGTACTGGACCCAATCCAAAACAGTTAGATACACTATTGGTGAAAATATACTGTTTGTGAAGGAGCCGCTCAACTCCTGTCGTCACAGAAAATGTGCGTAGAGGAGGATATACATAGCATTATGGCCTTTCCCACGCTGAGTATTATACTCATGTCATCATGCAAATACTTGTTGTGGTGGTGCAGTATAGAACTATAATTATGATTACGAATTATAATGTGGCATGTAATTAAACTAATGATTTAAATACGCTGTTCAGTAGCTTTCTGGTCATATAACTCATTCAAATTTTAGTGATTCCAGTACTTCAAATGCTTGAATTTTTTTTGTCATTAACTACTGAAACAACCAATATGTGGCCCATAATAAGAACACTTATTGAGAATAGGTTCTTGTTTTTTTAAAAAGAAAAAACACATTTCTTAAATTTTTGTAACTAACTTAAAAATATTAAAGTGAAGGGAGATTTTGTAAATGAAAAAATGGGAATTCTAAATTGATTATTTTTATTTATTTATTTAAAATGGAATATCTGTGTAGGCATACATACTTTTACTTGCACATTGCAATGATGATCAGAACACCTCTTTCCAATCAGTTTAACAAAGGTAAAGACCTAAAGGTTTATTAAAGAAGCTATAATTTAGTGATGGAGATTTCATACAACTGTGTGCATTACCTCCTTCAAAGAATATTGCTGATAATTTTTGTTTTGATAATATAAGAAAGATGTATTTGAGAAACCTTGCAGAAATGAAAGTCTCAGACTGAGTATGCATTTATTCCGCAGCAGTGCTGATCTGTACCGTGAACCGTTTCAACCTGCACAGATGTTTTGTGAAGCAAGGGGAAGTACCCTTCCAGAGATTAGCCCAACACAAGGGTTTAATTTTCTTTACTGATTAACAAATTGAACACAAATGAAACGCAATGCACCCAAACCTGCCTTTAATTTAAAATCAAATAAACAAGCGGAGCAGAGAGTCCTTTTCTGCAGCGTACACAAATATTCACATATCTACATGCATGCTAACACGTTGGACACACATGTGCACTCTTCATTCAGACAATGGCGTGTGTTACGAGGAAGGCTGAAACAATATGAATGAAGTAATTTGTGTATTGTCATGGCTGTGCGAATTTTAATAATAATATAAAAATAACACATAAAACATATTGATGGCGTGTGTGTACTCGTGTTTTCTTTAAGCTCTGACTGCATGGAGAAATCACAGTTCCTCTGCCTCATTTTTTCACTTCATTTTATGCAAAGAAATTTATCTTGTAGTCAAAAGCACAACAATAAATGGTAAACCCTTACGTTCTCAAAATCTAAATAACAAACGTCTGTGGAGGCCGCAAAAAGCATTGCTCTTTCCAAATAGTTTCTATGTAAATTAGGCAGATTTAAGAAACGGCGATAAATAACAATTAACAAAAAACAATAGATTTATTATCTGTTACAGAGGGCAGCTTTCCCCCCCCCCCCCCCCCCCCCAAGTGACTCCTCAGCTGCTATTTGTATAAAGTACAGTGTCACCAGGCCTTTCACAACCACACAGATTCCCACAGACACAGACACACACAGTCCAGGTGTTTTGTCTATGGAAGTAGGCTTATCTAAAACTAGGGCACCCCTGTGTCTCATGATTAGCTAGCGGTGGGAAACGTCTGCTTTCTTCTCTTTACATCTGTTTTTCCTGAGGAGACTTTCTGTGAATAGGCTACAGCAAAAAAAATAAATGCTTTTGAACATTAAAAACAGACGTTTCCTTTTGCTTTTGCTGTTTTTCATATGTCACTGTTCATTTAGAGTAAGACAGATGGGATTAACACAAGTACTTAGGAAGACTACATACAAGCAAAGATCGGGGTTTTGTAGTGTGTTCTTAGCTGAATGAGTACTTTCTCATAACTGTAGTCTTTCCTGCATCAAAGTTTGGACTTGGAAACACTTATTCTCTAGTGATGACGACTCGTATATTAACCGTCCCGTTTCAAGCTCAGTCAGATAAATCTGACTAACTGTCTGTCCTTCCAAGCAATGGGAAAATGCCGCGCTTTATTGATAACATATTGTTTGCTGCTTGGTTTCTGAGTGATGCCCAAAAAACAGTGACTATTATTCATGGGGCTCGAGCTTAATTCGAAACACCCTGCACAATCATTTTCTGTGGGAAGTGATTCTTTGTTAGACGCTGTAATAGAAAGGGTGTGATTCTCTTCCACCATGACAGAATATTTGAAAGTAAAAGAATGCATTGTTCTTGCCTAAAACCAAGCACAGCAGGCCCAAGAAGTCAAATATCTCCTCCTTATCTCCTCCTTTTAATGCGATGTCTAACTTTTTTTTGCTTTTCAATTGGGTGTCTTGCTATTTCTCTTCCTACATCCGGCTTTCCATGTATATGGATGGAATGATGCTTTCTGCAGACCTGTGTATATGGAACATTATCCTTGCATACTTTCTTTGTTTAGGGTGTTCTCAAGCCATTCTATATGTCTGACACTTACTTACCGTGTCTTTCTCTGTCTCTGTCAGTTTGCCCGAAACAATGTAGGCTTGCCTGTACGGACAAGGGGGAGTGTTGCCACAACCAGTGCCTCGGTAGCTGCACCGAACCCAACAATGACATGTCCTGCTCCGCCTGTCTCCACTACTACCACGAGGGTCGGTGTGTCCCAAACTGTCCCCCGGGCACCTACAAGTTTGAGGGCTGGCGCTGCATTACCATGGAACTGTGCGCTCAAGTGCATCTGGCCAGCGATTTTCACTTTGTCATCCACGATGGAGAGTGTATGCTCGACTGTCCCTCTGGCTTCACACGTAACGAGACTAATCGGTAAAGATGAATCCTTTATTCTTACTTTAGGCCCTGATCATTTGGAAATACCATGGTAACATATACGTTAACGTAAATACATTCACATTATATTAAGTGTTTTCCAGGCTTGCCCATCATTCTTAATACTCTGTATTTGAATTTGTAAGGGTTATAACCTGACTGCTATCAAAAGGAGAGCCACAGGTCTTGGTATTGTTTCTGAAGTAGATGCATGTTTATTCTGCAGTGCCCACATACACTAAAGCACTGTGCACTTAGGCATAATGAATCTATTTGCATGAAGTATCCTTCAGCTGAACTTCACCTGACCTCGGCTCTTCAAAAACTTCCTTTCTGCAAAACTGGAAGTGCTAGAGGTTTTAGAGTATGCGGGCTATTAATGTTTCAAGGTTTTTCCCAGACTACTTAGAAAGTGTAAAATGTGCTCAACACTTGCCACTGGTAGATTTTACAGGCTAGCAAATAAAGGTATTAAGAAGAGACTTGGCTTGAGTGTCCTAAAACTTCCTGTACTTAACATCTCCCAACCAAGGATATGTATATATATATATATATATATATATATATATATATATATCTCGAAAGAGAGAGAGAGGAATAAAAACACCCTTTTTGTCCCGTTTTGTCTCTTTCGGATTTGTATGTCTGTAAAGTTTCCATGCAGCCTTTCTGCTGCCGGATATTTTTTTGGCCATACGACTGCTGCTCTGTCTCTGAGGTCAACACAATGAGTCACTCTCTCACGAAACCGAGTTCAGTCAAGGGCCCATAAAAGATTAAACTCTCCGTGTGAGAGGTGACCTTGTATCATGCACTGAAATTATTTGCATGAATTCTCTGGAATGCTTGGGAGCTGGGGAGTGAGCAAATTTTTTTCAGGGCGTGGTAGAAAAAGTTTTTCTCTGTATTTCTGACACTTTGTTTTTTTGTTTAGTTTTTTCACATGGCTCTTCTTGCTCATTCACCCCTATATTTGCTTCTTCTTTATACAGTATGCTATGCAGTGCTTGTAATGGCCCGTGTGATAAGGTCTGCAGATCCACTGTCATCGATTCTGTGAATGCTGCCGAGTTCCTGCAGGACTGCACCGTCATCGATGGCAATCTGGACATCAATATCCGCCGTGGAAGTGAGTGCAGCTCTGTACAATGAACATTCCTCTTAGAAGCACATGTACTTTACATTTTGGTGTGGACTTCACTACACTGCTATGCTGCAGCTAAGCAAACTATAGCTTTGTACACTTAAAATGATGAGTGTGAGCCAGTGAATTATTTAACTTGGCCAGAATCTGCTACATGGTACTTAATAGTAAACTTTTACTGTCTACACTCACTATACTACAGCTTGTTGCACTTGACTTCCCTACATTTATTATGTTTGGAGGTATAGTAAAAGCAGAAGGGCCGGGTGGAGCAACATCACATGTGCTTTTTTGCACTCTAACCCAATTATCACATTATGTTATAATCCTGTTTATTTGTTCAGTTGATAGAGTGGCTCAAAGGTAATCCCTGTATATGATAAAGATTAATCCGTTATGTGTTCATTGGCAGATTTGGATGAAGACCAAATTGGTTATCACAGTAGCAATAGATTTTCTTTATAGCTTTTTTGTATTTTTGTGTGACCAAATGTGTTTTGTTTTTCTTTGTTAAATCTCTTGTCCTCAGATAATATAGCCCCCGAGCTTGAGAGATTCATGGGATTGATCCAGACAGTGACGGGCTATGTTAAGATTCGACACTCCGACGCTCTTGGCTCGCTGTCCTTCCTCAAGAGCCTACGTTACATCAAGGGGCAGGAACTCATCGACAAGTAAGGCTCGTCTGCACTTTTAGGCTGTGGTAGCATGCACGTGCGAAGCGAGAGGGAATTAGAGGACAAGAGTGGATCGGAGCCAAGCAGCAAGCATACTGCTTTACATCCATAGATGTCAAACTAACCTCTTGTTGATAAGAATGCTTTTTGCAACACTTTTCACAGATATCGCAATATCCTTATAAAATGTCATGCACAAAGGCTAGATAAGTGACTGTGGCTACTAAGGCAACACATATTTTACAGACAAGGAAGTTAAAAAATACAAATCAAGTTAAAACAACTCAGTCTGAAGCAGGAGCGCTAAACATAACACCAGAAGCAGCCCGGATACAAAGGAGAGTATAAATTTTTTGACTTACTATTGGATTTTCATACGTTTTATGGCTTTTTCTGCCGATAAAGACCTCCCCCACAGCCATTTATACCTTATCAGAATAGTCAGGTGTTAGTTAAAGAATTAAATGACAGAAAATGTTCCTTTTTTTCCACTGTCTATAGAAATCACAGTTTTAAAAATGGAAATGTTTAATCAATCAAGAAAAACAATGCTTACAGGAAATACAGGAAGCAAGCTAGTAGAACGTTTTCTGGGATCTGTTATTTATCATGTATAAAACCTAAGATGTGCTGTTGAAATTGCATCTCTATATCTTACGTTAAGATATCTCAGAGATTAGATGTGTAGATGAACTTCTTTGTACTGACAGGAATGCAAGTTTCACTCATCCGGCCCACTTAGGATCAGGCGGTATGCGGGCCTTTAAAATACGTTTGACTTCGCTGGTCTAAAGAGAGCTGCTATGATAAGTTTCAAATAATGGGGTAGACTTCCATACAAATATGCCTGAAAGACAAAATCTCAGTTTTTGGGGGTTTTTTTTTGCACTCTTGGCTCCGTATGACGCCTGAGGGAACAGCTGTGATTAATATGGTAATAAAACCCCGCCCACCAGAAGCAGCTAATCAGACTAACGTTGGCTTAAATGGAAAGTGACCTTAAAGGGAAACGAGATAAAATGACTCAGTTTATTATTATTATTATTATTATTATCATCTGTTCCAGTAGAGTGTGAAAATTAATACGTTACTGTAATTTAGCACAATAGGTCAATGAAGAGATGAATTAATAATAATATTAATGAAGATAATAATGATGATAATACATTTTCAGTAAGATTTAAACAAAGTTAAATGTACAGTCCATTAGTGTCTTCACTGTGATATTAACACTAGTCCAAGATACGAGTGAAAGTTTTTTTTAGTGATGGCCAAAGGGGTCATGGGGCCTGGCGCCCTTCTTGTTATCATTTCTTCCAGGGTTAAGTTTCACCAAGGAATGCTGTTGAGGGTGGCAGGCATTCCTTTCCCTCTGGAGGTGTTCATCTGTGGTACTTGGACTGGTAGAGCTAAAAGTGTTGGCGTGACAGTTTCTGTTTTATGTCCTCGTCTGTAGTAATGGAGGCTTGTTTTCAGGGAGACACACAAAGCCGAGGCCGTAATATCCACATCTGCTGGTCCTTAGTGGGACCACCAGGTGGCAAAAAAAAGCTCCTTGAACAACATTTAGGGGAACGTTATATCCTGTGAAACACTTTATGTTTGGTTTTTTTGATAGAGACTATACGAGGTGCTTCTTACAGTCTTTTGATCTTTTTCTCCCAGCATGTATTCATTCTCCGCCATCAACAATCAGAATCTGAAGTACTTGTGGAACTGGACTGAGCACAACCTGACTATTAGCAGTGGACGTCTATTCTTCCGTCAGAACCCCAAACTCTGCATGTCTGAGATCTACAAGATGTGGGATAAAACTGGCATAGCTGTGAAGCCAGAGGAAGGGGATTTCCGCAACAATGGCGAAAGAGCCAATTGTGAGTAAATTCGTGTGAATTTTTGGTCCACATTCATTCAGTCATTCAGCTTGTGTGCACGTTTTTACTTTATACATATGTCTCACCGGTGGCCAGGTGAAAGCCATATCTTGAAATTCAAATCCAACATCACATCCAGCCATGTGATCAATCTGACATGGGAGCGCTACCAGCCCCCCAAAAATGGAACCCTTATCAGCTTCATCATTTACTACAAGGAATCGTGAGTACACAAAGGCTTATTATTAGCCTCTGAGCATAAAGTAATTTAGTGTCTTACTTTCATGTCAACTGTCTTTTTTTTTTAATGAAATTCTTTTTTTAATGTATTTTTTTCAGTCCTTTCCAGAACATCACTGAGTTTGATGGCCAGGATGGCTGTGGCTCAAATAGCTGGCACATGGTGGATGTGGATCTTCCTAAAGATAATAACAATGACCCAAATGTCAGACTTCAGCACCTCAAGCCTTGGACTCAGTATGCTATTTTTGTGAAGGCCATCACCCTGCAAGAGAGCGACAAAGATGCCACTGGAGCAAAGAGTGACATCATTTATATTCGCACACACCCATCGTGTAAGTGTGACCATCACTTTTGGTTCTGGCTTCAGTTTTACATTATTATTGTTGCGCAACTATATAAACACATGAACAACATAAAATAATCTAGTCTTTCCCCTGGTACAGTGCCGTCTGTGCCTAAAGATGCCCGTGCATATGGTAATTCCTCAACAAAGCTGGTGGTGAAGTGGTCACCTCCACTTTTGCCCAACGGCAATCTCACTTACTACCTGGTCCGCTGGCAGCGTCAAGCTGAGGATAGGGAGCTCTACCAACATGACTACTGCTCCAAAGGTCTGCACTCCTCCTTATTCTAATAAGCAGCCAATATGTCTTTATTCTCTGACCTTTCAAACCTTTCCAGTTACTTAGCGAAGGCCACTCAGTCTTTCTTGCATCGTACAAACATTATTTGTTTTTTAAACTAATCTTAATGCACAGTTAAAAGAGGACAATCACCTGGAAGAGCTTTAGCTTGCCAAAACAAAAAGCTGGCCATTGTAATTGGTAAGGTTAAATCCCACCCTTGCTAAACACTCTTTTTTCCTGGCTTTTCATTTCATATTTTCTTCAACAGACTTGAAGATCCCAATCCGAATCCCGGCGTCGGAGCTCACAGACATGGAAGAGAACACAAAGCCCACGAAGTCAGACCTAGCAGGGCCAGAAAAGGTCCTGTGCTGTGCTTGCCAGAAGACACCAGAAGAGAAGGACCGTGAGAAGGACGACCGTGTCTTCTTGAAAGTTTTTGAGAATTTCCTCCACAATTCCATCTTTCTGGCAAGGTATGTCACATCAGTGGCCTCCTTAAACCGTTTATAGGCTGTGACCTCCCTTTCAAGTGCAGACAGCTATCAGAGCACTGAATGTAATTGCCTTGTTGGGTCAATGCGAAGACTGAGGTGGTGGAACGGGTTTAATGGCTCCTCTGTGGAGCGAACAAGATCTGAGCATGACGGGTGTGGACGGACCTGACGGACGCTGAGCTGGCCCGCTGAGGCCGGCCCTTTTGTTGGGTGGAGCAGATGAAGGAGACATGCTGAGTAGGTTCCAAAGCCTCCTCAGCACTCATGTGGCTTTTTTATTGCCGCGGCAACGGTGGCACAGGGGTTGATGGGGTCTACCAGGCAGCAATTTGGACAAAACAAACAAACCCAGGAGAGAGACGAGATTAAAGAGTCTCGTTTGGCTACACAATAGCTGCTTATGCTTTTGTTTCCCGCAACAGGACTGACATCTGTGTTGTGTTATCATTTCACTTGCTCGTGGCTATGGATGTTTCAGTGTTCCTCTCTCACAGTTCTCGGATAGGATAGGACAGGATAGACTGATGGATATTCATTTGTTAAAATGATGAAGTTTATTTAATTGAACAGCACTGACCTTTTACTTCGTAGTGCTGTTCATGGAATTTGATCAATATGTTTTGGAGGAAAACTGCTAAAAATTGGCTGAACTGTTATCTATCTACACCTCCTCTTCTCTCTGGCTGTGCTGATTTGTTTCAGTAGAAGTGTCTAGGAAACTGGCGGGTGGCAGGTCCCTGGCCCTCAGCGAGGAGCTCGGCCAGTGTATGCACAGCCTCTCCACTGTAACACAGCCAACATTATTACAAACCACTCTAGGGAAAATGAGGGAGTTTTTTTCTTTCTTTCTTTCTCAAAAGTTCAGGGTTTAGACCCAGGGTGAGGGAAAAGAGGGTGCATGAAAACAGAAAGAGAAAGAAAAGGAAATGTTTTCCATTCTGTCCTTCTCAACTCGGCACTTCACGCTACTCCTCCCTTGCATGCTCTCTTTGTCCGAGGCTTTTTTTTCCTCTTTTTTCTTTCCTGTAACGAGGCAGCTGCCAGGAAATGTACAGTGAATCCATCTGGAATCTAAATGAATGAGGGAAGAGCCCCATCAGCCGTAGAAGACAAGTAGAAAATAAGGAAAGCAGACTGATTTATGGGGAAAAGGAAGGGGGCTGCCTCACGATGAATACGTACAGATGAGGTGAAAAGGACTCCCTGATGTTGCCTCTTCTTCTATCAGATGTTTCACTATTATCCATGATCCTGTTGTATTGTATGAGGTGTCAACTGCTTACAATGTGCCCCACTAACCATAGAGTGAATGTGTAGTCACGGCTTTCCTCTCTGGATTCCGATGCATAAAGGTAGAGCTTTTTTAGCAGGTGAGGTCAGGGCACTGTAGTAACTACAGCTACAAAGCATGTGACAGGTAGCAGATTCTTATTTCACTGTCATTATCGCCCATACAGAAAGTCGAAGCCATAAAATGTCTGTCGCCTGCTCATTTCTTCTTCTTCTTCTTCGCTTTGATGAACGGCTACTGTCAGAGTGAATCAGTGTCACGAGTCTTTTGTCTGTAGTCTCTACCATGTTGTCAGTTTTCATGTATGTGTGATGTAGTCAGTAATAACTAAAAGGCTGGGCTTTGGTTTGCTGGACTGCAGCACTTTTAGCTGTCAGAGAGGAATGCTGACATGTCAGTGAAACTGCCTTTCCCACATTTCTGTCTTTGTCTGTGCACTCCTCTTCCTGCAGGTCGACTTGAAAATAAAACACGCATTCTGTAGCTTTCGCTTAGTTAGTTTCTTCGTTTAACATGGTAGTCTGCTGTACTGCGTAAAAGAAGAAGTCCCATCCAGCCTCCAGCATAGCTACTGCCACTGCACTAAGCTGACCACAATTACGTGTGATTTTGTTAGGGCCATTGCTCCCTGCTCCGAGGACTCAGTGAAGCGCACATAGGCAGTGCAATCGACTCCCATTCCCCAATTCACAGACTTACTTTTGTTTTAAAGTAAAACAAAAGTAAGTAAAATAAAACATGCATTCTGTAGCTTTTGCTTAGTTAGCTTCTTAGTTTAACATGGTAGTCTACTGTACTGCGTAAAAGTCTTCAATTTTATATTTTGCTAGGAAAATGGGGAAACAGGTGTAGAAGTTTATTGAAATGTGCAAACATGCAAGCTTTCTTTATAAATTTTTAAAGTCGTCTTCATGAATAGTTCTCCGGGCTTCTCCAATCTCTTAGAATTTTTGTTGTTTTTTGTTCTGTTCTTTGTCAAGCTGCAACAATCTTGAGATCCGGTTTTTGGGGAGGCCGGTCCATGACTGATCGTGTTGCACTGTGTGTTTTGCTATCCCGTATGGTTTTACTTGCATTGGCAGTGTGTTTGGGATCATTATCACTCTTTGCCTTTCTTACACGTTCAAAATGGTGTTGCATAACTTGATCATTCCACCAATTTCGACAAAATCCACGACACCACTGGCCGAAATGCTGCAGACACATCTCTCCTGACCTCCTCTGTCCATTGCTGCTCACCTGGACCTGTTGTCTTTGGCAACTAAAGAAATACGTCTTTGCTAAGTTATCTGCTATGCGTAGGAACAACACCGCTGCATCCCTCGAGCTGGGTTCTTTTATAACAATTTAATGATTCAGAGATTCGTGTTAAGTTGCTTAACAACTAAACAAAACAAAAAGTTTCTCTGAAAATGCTCAGAAAATCAGAGAAATACCAAAGAAAAAATTTGAAGGACCTTTAGAAAGAATTAAGAACTTCGACTCAATGTAACTTCTAAAAATAAAAAGCAAGTCTGGCTTCTTGGAAGCAAAATATAAAGAAATCAGAACTGAATCTTTATTGTCATTACAGCAATGAAATTGAGGTGCAATTCTCTCAGTGCAAAAGAAGAATAAAAAATAAAATAAAGAATATATATATTTATACATCTATAACAACAAACACAGTTGTTTCTGTATTGCACCACTTGCCAGTGTTGATGTAAATGCCAACGTTATAAAGAGAGAAGCGGTGGCTCAAGATTTTTGCACATGACTATAGGAACAAATTCTTTTTTCTGTGGATTTGTGGTTTCTGTTCATCTCATGAAAAAATTACAAAAAGTAGATTTTATGGATTTGAATTATTAGTCAGATTGTTAAAAACACTGTTTAATGGTGTTGTAGACCAAATAATGAATCTATTAATTATTACAAAAACAACAAATTATTAAAAAAAAGTAGCTGCAGTTCTAATTCTCAGTGTACAGTTTGAGTCATTTAGTTGAAGTTGCTATTTTTCTCTGAGCTAAGCTGTCTAAACCCAGTCACTTGTTCATTGTCACATTCGGTTTTAGACAACCCCCAAACATGTCTGTGTACGAGCTTTATAAAGGGCATCAGTAACGCTTTTATCTTCTCAGTCACAGCAAGTGCTTTTTTTCTTTGTCTGTCTTATTGACCACCCTGCATCTTTCACAGGTGGACAAGATGTCCTGTGGTATCTCCTACTGCTAAGGTCACAGCTGTCATCGCCTCTTTGCTTTCAATTATGATGATGTCCAGGTCTTGGCAGCTCCACCCAGTATCATATGAACTTTGAGTGAACTGAAGGCTAAACATTACTTTTCAGAGTTGAACCTTTTGGGTTTTTTTGTTTGTTTGTTTTTTATCAGGGGCATGTTGGACATTAGCGTTACTGTCTGTTTTTTGCATTTCTCTGTCAGTCAGCCTCTCAGTGATCTAATGACCTAATAAGCACAGCACAACTGGGAGTAGCAATCACTCCGTGCTTTCCATGAAAGATGTTTAGCTTTGCGCAAACATTTTTTCAGGAGGTATAAACCATCACTGACATGCTACAATAAGGGTTCCAGGACATACAATGCACCTTTTTGTCTTTTGTTTCCCCAGCACTGCTCATTGAATTTTAATGATCTGTGCTACAGGTTTTATATTCAATTGTGTCTTTGTATTTCAGACCTCAAGAGCGTCGGCGCAGAGACCTTTCTGGTACAGCAAACAACACACTGTTTTATGAGGGCGGCAGAGGGAATACCACTCTCGGCGCAGGGGATAACAGTACAGATGGCATTCCTCCTAACGTAGAGTTCCCCTTCACTGAAGACAAGAGCACAACAGAGTATTTAGAGATCCCCAATCTGCGGCCCTTCACCGTCTACCGCATTGATATCCATGCGTGCAACGAGGTGGTGGGGAAGTGCAGCGCTGGAGCTTTCGTCTTCTCCAGGACCAAACCTGCAGGTTAGAAACATAGTAAAAAGCCTGCATTCAACTACCTGTTTTCAGTAATGCTGACAAATATAAAGAGAGTGCATTTCTTTTATTTACCTGAAAAAGTCACAAATATTACTTTTTCCAGTGTTTTTTGGATATCGGGCAAAAAACAGTGGAAAAGGTGTATAATGCTGAAAAACACTTGGTCAAACATCTCACACTTAGTTGGGTTAATTGGAAGGAGGTCGGTACCATGAGTGGGTATAAAACAAAGCTGAGCCTTTCGGAAATAAAGGTGGCGAGGGTTAAAATATAAATATAATATAAAAATATAAAATCTCTCAGTTTTCAAATAGATTGAGGATTTAAAATGACTCCAAGTGATTGTGTTGATTTTGTTTTCATTTACACAGCATCCCTGCTGTTTTTGGTAACATAGTGGTGTGGAAAATGGAAAATGAAATGTGCTGGCACCTTTTCTGAAATTAAATATCCTTGTTTATATTAACGTGGTTGTGCCTGTTCCCCCAGTCAAAGCGGATGACATCCCGGGCAAGGTGATTTTTGAGAGGTGTGACAAAATCGAGGGGTGTGTGGTGCTGCACTGGCCAGAGCCCGTTATGCCCAATGGACTCATCTTGATGTATGAGATCAAGTTCCGCCTGGGTAATGAGGTGAGCTGGACTGGGGTAATTATAGCTTATTATCATAGGTCATTTCCTTTTTCAACATTGAAAAGCCTGGAATCCATGACTATCCAAATATTGTAAACAACTGAAAAGGCTCTCAGTGTTTGCTCAGTGAAGGATTCACATGTTTAAAACGTGCACCAGACTCCAATCATGCTCATGCACGCAGGGCTTAAACACTGAGTAAAACCAAAAACAAATGACAAACTCTACACAATAGAAAGCTGATTGGAGGCCATCAAACCTTATTCACCTGAAATAAGAAACAAGAAATCATATTTTTGATTAGATGAGAACATTAACCCGATGGTATGTTTTCTTCCAAGCAGTAACCAGCGTGTGCTTGTTCTCTTCCAGCCTGAGAAGCACAAGTGTGTGTCGCGACAGGATTACCGCCGGTACAAAGGAGCTCGACTAACCAACCTTGGCTCGGGGAACTACTCCGCCCGAGTGCGTGCCACTTCCCCGGCAGGAAACGGCTCCTGGACAGAAAGTGTTTTCTTCTATGTGTCTCCACCTAAACGTAATGAACTTCTCCCTAATTACATGGAATGCAGAGGAATGAAAAATAAATAGGACTTGACACCATCGGTTTTTATCTTCTCTGACAGGTGATGACGGTGTTACGTTGTATGTGGTCATCATAATTCCCATCATTGTGACAATTTTTGTCGCCGGCCTCATCACCATCCTCTTCTATGTGAACAAAAAGAGGCAAGTATCTTTTTGCAGACGCGCTTTTAAAACTGCCTGACAAAAGTTCTTTGATTAAGCTGTTCTGCCTGGCTATGCTCACGAAGCTTAATGATCAGTGTAATGTTAATCAGCGCTAATAGGTGTTGTTTTCATTAACGTTCCCCTGTGGTAAAGAGTAGACTTCCTCTTGAAAATTGCACACAGCATCTGCAATCAGACTTGCCTGCAGGCTAACTGAGTTTGTGTTAACAGGAACAGTGACAGACTGGGGAACGGCGTCCTGTATGCATCAGTCAATCCAGAGTACCTCAGTGCTACTGAGAGTAAGACTGTTGGATATTTGGTCTATTTTTCATTGGGTTTTTTGGGTGGGGTGTTTAAACTCTGATGGTGACCCGCTGTCTCTTGTGCCACACCAGTGTATGTCCCAGATGAGTGGGAGGTAGCAAGGGAGAAGATCACTATGCACAGGGAACTGGGCCAGGGATCCTTCGGCATGGTGTACGAAGGCATCGCAAAGGGAGTAGTGAAGGACGAACCTGAAACGAGAGTGGCCATCAAGACGGTCAATGAGACGGCCAGCATGAGGGAGCGAATTGAGTTTTTGAACGAGGCCTCTGTCATGAAGGAGTTCAACTGTCACCATGTGGTAAGTTGGACGCGTCATCAAATCCTTACCATCTGGCTCATGTGGTTATTAATAATAAACCAGTGTATTGTCATAATGAATCCAGTCACGAGATGAAATTGATCCTCGCAGACGTAGACTCAAGTACGCTGTGGTTGTCTTTATTCCGACAGCTGCAGCATGACTTGCAGTTCAGACTCCAGGATATACTGTATATTCTCACTTCAGTGTGATCACAACATCAGAAACTGCATAACGTGGATGTGTTGTTAAAGCCTTTTTATTAGTCACTGTTTTGTTTTTTTTAAGGATAAAGATCTTTAACAATGCTCCAAGCAACAACAACAACAAAAAAAATACATTTAAATTGCAAATGCAGGATGGAGCTGAACTGTAACCTAGTGTGCTTCTGAGTCAGACAACCTACCTTACTGCCTAGTAATTTATTGCTACTGAATGCACTATGTGGTGGTCTTTAATGTTATCTAGATTTAGTGGAAGCCAAACATTTTATTCTAACAAGAAATCACACAAAACCCAACAGTGAGAAAGTCTAGAGAGACTTTTCCTTTGTGGTTTGCTTTGTGGGAGAATGGTGTTGATCAGTGGAAAATACAAAGTGATTTGAGTCAGGACCACTGTAATAGGTGAATACTCACATGTGCAGTAATTTGGATTTGGTGGCATGGCTCTGTTCTGGGGTATTCTTGGCACGAGTTAGGGTGAACAGCAATATGATCCACCAAAGGCAGGCAGGCAGGTTAAAGGTGCCATAAGAGATTTGTAGAAGTGTAGAAGGGTATCATCAATCTGCTGGATCACAGCTGAACTTGACTTGCCTATTTGAATGAACTCTGTGCTGTTTTTTTTTTTTTATAAAAAAAAAAACTTTTTTCAGAGCTTAAAGTTTTGAGCATATTTCATATTTTCCTATGTGAACAAAACCTATTTTGAAGTTATATGTAGCATGTATTTTGGACACAGTTTTGTTTTTATCAGAGCTGACCCCTCTGCACTGCTGTGATTAATGTAGGTGCGGCTGCTTGGCGTGGTCTCTCAGGGACAGCCAACCTTAGTGATTATGGAGCTGATGACTCGCGGAGATCTCAAGAGCCACCTGCGCTCCCTGCGCAAAGAAGTAAGCAACCTGTCCACGTGTGCACACACACACACCTCTGCTCTCTTTCTTAATTTTTACAATTTCTTCTGCCACCCTTATACATCATCCACGCTACGCTTTGTTTCGCTCAGCTGATTAAAGCAGAAAGGCGTGATATGTCGACTGACTGAATAGTGCTTTTCATGGAGTTTCTCTTCTCACCGCCTCTTGCTCTACCACAGAACGCCACCAGCCAGGTCTTACCCCCACTCAAAAAGATGATCCAGATGGCTGGAGAAATCGCAGACGGTATGGCGTACCTAAACGCCAACAAATTTGTCCACAGAGATCTGGCAGCGAGGAACTGCATGGTAGCAGAGGACTTCACTGTGAAGATTGGAGGTAAGTCAAGTTAATATATTGCCTTCAGCCTCCCCCGCTCTGCCGGCCTTGACAAAAAACTGTTTGGATTTCAGTGTCGGACCCAAGCACGTTAATGTAGATGGACAGAGGGGAGGGAAGAGGTGAGAGGGATAGATGAGCTCTCTGGAGCTTCCTCTCCCACACATAATGAGTGATACTTAGTGGCTTCCTCAACTTCTGCTTTCATTTTTTTTTCTCCAGATTTTGGCATGACCAGAGATATTTATGAGACGGACTACTACCGAAAAGGAGGAAAGGGCCTGCTGCCTGTCCGCTGGATGTCTCCAGAGTCACTGAAAGATGGCGTGTTTACTACAATGTCTGATGTCTGGTATGGCAGCAAATCACTCTTACATATACACAAGCCTGCATTAGACTAGGGCTGCCACAAATGATTATTTTGATAGTCAAATAGTCACCGATTATTTTTGCAATTAGTCGACTAATCAGATCATGCATCCATTGGATGTACAGCTTATTGCACCAGCAGCATCTGCTCTTATATAACTATCATTAGCTTACAGTTTTAAGTGTTTAAGGTCTGTGCTAACTAAAAATAAAGACAAGATGATAGTTTATTAAATTTTAATGAAATTTGCAGATTGTTTCGGTGAAGTTTAATAAACTCCTTGCTATCTAAAATATAACAGGACACCGGAGTATTTTCTCGAGCATGTCACATTTCTGATAATCAGTTGTCTGCTTGATGTTTATTCAGCTGTGTAAAAACTATAACTTTAAGCTCAGCCAAACCGATTTACTCAGGAACAAATAAAATACTAAAAAAAAAGCCAAACAATAACATTTTTAAGTTATCTAAGTCACTTATATATGTTTCACCTGAGTGGGTTTGAAAACGATTTCCGGTGTTCTCACCGGCTCTAGTGAGCCTGTAACCCCGGCTAGCTATCGAGCTAGTGGGTAACAGACGTCTCCGAAAACGTCGGAGCGCTTTTGAAAACATGTTGTGTCTTGATAAACTGAGCCGATATTTGAGGTTTACACAGCTACATTCTCACCTGAAAATATGCTACACGCTTATTTTGTGACCCAGAAAGAATAATAAGAGTAATATTAAAACTAACTAGCTGCTGCCATTGTTGGAAACTGAGCTGGGCTGCGCTATGAATTCTGGGACACAGCTTCTTCTTCTTCTTCGGGGTTTAACGGCAGCTGGCATCCTTGTACATGCAGTGCTGCCATCTTCTGTTTCAGTCCGTTATTACACTCTTAAATCCTACTTATTCCTGCGTCTTTTGGGATCTTACAAAGCTTCAAACGACGCGTCGACTATTAAATCAGTCGTCGACGATTTTGATAGTCGACGTAATCGTGACTAGTCGACTAATTGTGGCAGCCCTACATTAGACATGTATGAACCTCCTTAAATCCAGAAAGATGCTAAGTTTTCCATAACCACCTCAATATTTTTTTTGCCTTTGTCCTTGTGTATACTCTAAAACAGTTCATGCTGTGGCAAAAAACTAGATAATATATTCTTATGATAATTTTCTACTTTAGTTTTTTTTTTTTTAAATCATGACTACTGTTTCCAAAAGCATCCAAACCTTTGGTTTTCTGGCTGCCTCTTTGGAAATTCCTGGCAAAAAAGTACAGGCCAGGAGTATTCCTCTTCTTCTTTTTTTTCCATTTACTGACAACTCTATTATTCCACTGTTTCGTAGATTCCCAGCCTACAGCACTGCTACTTTTTTTTCCTGTGTTTTACTACTGTTTACTAGAACCCCCTGCATGTTTGTTTCCCCAAATGTCACGGGTTAGTCCCTAAGAGTGGGCTTAAACTGCTCCAGATGTCTTTAAATGAGAGGTTGCCGTGCCAGCACAAACACACCTCCACAATTTGTGTACAATATCCTCCCCTTTGATGTTGTAAAGAAGTTTAGTGTAAGATAACCCTGATGTCATCATGAGTAGGTGACTGTTTGAGATCCTGGTGTGCAGTATTGTAATAGGCCTATTTTATTTATTTTGTTTTTAAGTTAAGCATACCATTTGAAAATTTGGCTAGCCAAAGTAGTACAGTAAACAAATATTGTGGTCATCGCGAGGCAGTCTTGAAGTTAAACTGAAGAAATACTTCATGCTGAGGTTTTTCCTGCAGTATTGTAATCATGTAAGCTGTATTACAACATACCGTGCCACACGTCATGAAGTTAAAATAAGAAGCAGGGTAAATGCTCAGTACCAGCTCTCCGACATCCTGCGCTCATTTTGGATTCTAGTGCAGATTATCTGGGGAACTTAAAGTTGCAATATTTAAAATAGCATTCATCTTTTTGGGGAACTTGTGGACAGATATGAGCTAAGGATACATGGCACACTCCAAAAAGAAAAGAAAAAAAATGAAGCCTGAAATAAAGTCAGCAGTGTCAGCTCAGCTTGTGCGCTGTTAGTACTGCGATCGATGGATGGCAGTGAGAGTATTTCAGTCCAACACGGACAGAACAAAAAGTCAGAAACTATCGGTTAGCCTTAGATTAAATTTGGTTCAGACATTCACTGCACCCAGGAGATGAATCCCACTTACTGCTTTACAGCCACTTTCTCTGCCTTTTCATCTTCCTTCATCACGAGATCAGAATTTTCAATCTTCTAATACATTTTTTAATGACTACATTCCAGTAAATCTCACCAACTTAACACAATAAACTAAGGCACAGAGCACGCCAAATCAGATACCTGCCTAGCATCAGCCTGTCACTGTGAGCATGTTATCATGCTGACATCAGTTTTTTTTCCCTCTTCTGTATATTAAAAGGCATTTATTACCTTTTCTGTATCAGTCAGTCAGGCTGTTTGACATTTACTCCCTCTAAAACCATTACTAGAATATTCCTCTCTGTTTAGGTTGGACATTTATGCACATCTCAAGCACAACAGCTCTCAAACAAGCACCATATGTGGCTCTTATAAAAAAAGGAATATATGAAAAATATGATTTGTACTTATTGTTTGTATGCAAACAGTGCAGCTCAATTTTGAGTGGAGGGAGTTTTATTTGCTTTTATTAGATGGTTACCAAGTATTACTGGTGAGGCATTTTCAGGTCACCCTGATAACAATTTAGTCACTAACATAATGGATGTCATTTCTTTCAAATTTAGAGCGATGATGTAGGATAGGCTCTTCAAAGTAAAGTTTATTCCTAAGCAATAGAAGAATATGTGTGCTTGATCGATGGTTAAAATAAACGTTTACTGTGGAAGCCGAAAGAGCATCACATAAAATACCACAATATATTACTTGAATATGTTGCCTAATTTTTCTCGCTGCAGGTCATTTGGTGTCGTGCTGTGGGAAATCGCCACCTTAGCTGAACAGCCTTACCAGGGGATGTCCAATGAACAAGTGCTGCGCTTTGTCATGGAGGGAGGACTCTTGGACAAACCTGACAACTGCCCTGACATGCTGTAAGTCTTTCTTTTTTCAAATCTGTGACCCTGCCCTTAAGAACAATAAAACTAAGTAACATCAGCTTGGATTTATGAAGGATATTTTATCCTCTACAGCCGCAGCCACCCATGTCTTCTGTCCTATTAATATTTTGCCCTGTTTTATTTTAAGTTGTGGCTCTGAGTGTGAAGGATATCGTGTGTATAAGTTAAGGTAGAGCCAGGACGAGGGCCGACATTAACGTCACAGGATAAATGTGGTCCGTTGACGACATAGCTTCAGTGGTCAGCTGGCAGTGAGAACCCTGCTCAGCCTTCAGCGCCGGCCCATAGAAGGGATGCCACAATCAGTGTGTGAAAGATGCCCCTCATTCCTACTACGGAGGGAGGTAGTGCCTGTCTGTCAGCGTGGTGGATGAGAAAGTTATCATTATTTAACTTTAAATTAATCAGTCAATCAATCAAACACTTTGGAAGTTAGAGGGGAAAGAAAAGCCCGAGCACAGCCTGCTCGTCGGCATGCAGCGCTGCATACATGCATTTCGATTCTCCGTCTCTGACCTCAATAAGAAGGCATTCTGCTCTCTCCCCTCCCACTCTCCACGGCTGACCTCACCTTAGAAAGAGTGTGAGTAGCAAAAAAAAAGAAAAAAGAAAAAGAGGATCAAGTGTTGTGCAGACACAAACCTCGCGTTTCTATGGCAGCGTGGCTTTTTTGTCCTGATTACAGGAGTGTGTGGATTGTGTTACAGAGGTGGTGGAGTCGGGGCTTAGCAGCACACATGGAAGTCAGGCCACTGTCGATGGTCGCCTCTGCTGTAGTGACTTAATGGAGATTTCCAGAAGATTGCCCAAGTGCAGTGAAGCCAGAGAGTTCATACAAAGACTGAATAGAAAGATACAGAAGAAGTGGAAGTGGGCAGGTTAACACAAACAGGGATGAGTCATATTTCGAGAGCCTTAAATGTCTCCTACTTGTACTGTTTCCTTTGTTTCTCAGGTAGCTTTGGTCACTGATTGTTATTCTCATGTTTCTGTCTAGAGTTTCCCAGAGATAAAAGTTCTTTTCCTCCTTCAGAATTGGAAAATAAATGTGACTAAATTAAACATCATTATTTTTCTGTGGAATATCACTTACACGCTATTATCCGTCAAGGTTTTGCCACGCCGGGGAGGTTGCACGTGTGAAGTTTTTCAGATCTGGCAGGGATTCCTGTTCAGGTTTATTAAGCATTTAGCATAGATGTTTGGAGACTTTTTTGCACTCACACTTGGCCTGAAATTGCATCTGTTTCTGATTTTTATCAAGCTTTGTTGGCCCATCTCTTCTGTGAATATTTGGCTTTATCCAGGCCAGTGAAGATTTTCTTATAATTCTGACACCGACTATCTCATATTTGCTTGTAACCATCCGTATACAGTATATCGGACAGTGAAGTCAGAATCGGTTTATTGACCAAGTACGTTAACACACATGAGCTCTCACTATATTTTAATACCGTGCAGATGGCAAATTCGCAGGATAATACAGATACAGACATACAGCCAAGCAAAGATATCGAATCAGCCAGAGCAAATAAAGAAAAACAGAAACAAAAAAGCAGACCCTAGGCAAACCATCCGAGCCGCCATCTCAGTAACTTAATAGCTGCTGCTCAGCTGTATTTATACAGCACATTTGGTGCACTCAAATTTGAATGTGAAGTGATTCGGGGGGGAAAAAAAAAAAAAAAAAAAAAAACCACAGCTAAAGAACAAGTGGAGTTTTAATGCAGTGCAAGTAAAGCTCATGTAATCTGTTTTGTGTTGCTCACAGGTCCAATGTTAGTCAGTTTAGCCAAAGCATGTGGCCTGTGGGTCACGATTGGCAGGATGCTGACAAGAAGTCAGGATTTACAGTGTTTGTTTTCTAAATTTGCATCAAGAAGCCTCGTGCGAGACGGTGTCGGAAGTTTGCAGCAGACGGGTTACTCTGGTGCATCGGCCTTACTTCCAAGCGCCGTGCGCCTTTTTCACGGGAGGTCCTTGCTTGCCCGAGCTCGGACATCTGAACGTCAACTTTGAGACACTTCCTGCACATGTGCAAAACAAGTCTGAGCCGCCCCCTGCTGCTTCAGAGCATGAAGCGAGGCACGTGCTTAAGAAAGCTTTACCCATAATTCCTCTGGCGCGGAGAGGAGCTGGCACCCAGCTGCAGAGGTTATTCTAGATGGCAAAGAGACCACTAGGAAAAACAAGACAGAGGGAACAGCAAGAACGGAGCAGCGATGGCCAAGGTGTTTATGTCAGCGGGCCTTAGAGAGTATTCTGAGCTTGTTTGTGTATAATTGGAGCTGTGGTGTGCGGTCCAGCACCACACAAAACTGTAATAATTCTCCCGTTTATGATGTTGTTTTGACATTCCCAAAGCTCGGTTGCTGGCCTGGCACAGTAACCTTAAGTATGATTTACTGTTCTGCTGAGTGCATGCTACATTTCTGATCTTACTGTATTTGTTGTTAAAAAGAAAAAACAAACGGAACCCCCAAAATAGAAGAAAAAAAAAAAAACGGCAAAATTTCAAAACAATTGAACTGGCATAAAAATAGTTTGTGGATTTACTTACTATATTATTGCCACTGAAAGCCTTGTAGCTTGCAGCAACTTTGGAACGCGCGCACATATATTTAGTCTTTTGGCCACAGTCTTACAGGGTTTTAATTATATAATTTTACGGGACAGTACTTAAAGAGAAGGCATGCTCACCAAGATTACCTGCCAACAAACCTGCTTCGAATTAATGAGCAGCTACAAGTGGTAAGGACGGGTATTTACAATAACTACATCCTTTTTTCCCCTCTTTTTTTTTAAAGAAAAAACTGAAGCATAAAATCTAGTGTAGCACACTTTACCAACGCTGATATTACAGTCTCTGTTCTTTCTTCATGATCAGTGTTATGAACTGAGATGTAGTGCCAAAAAGCCCTAAAGGGGCCTTCAGTTTCTCCTGCCACCTGCTGGACAGAAACAAGACTTACAGGGCCACATGCTGTTTTCATCCCTCCTGTCCTTACCGGTTGTAAAGTTTGCTGATATGTTGCAGTTTAAGAAGTTTCTGTTTGTCAGTTCAAGCTGGTGTGTGAGAAATGTTTACACAGAAATGACAAAAATGATGATTTTGTCATTTATCTTTCAGGTTTGAACTGATGCGAATGTGCTGGCAGTATAACCCTAAGATGCGTCCGTCCTTCTTGGAGATCATCAGCAGCATCAAAGACGAACTGGATCCTCCCTTCAGGGAAGTGAGCTTCTTCTACAGCGAGGAGAACAAGCCGCCGGACACAGAGGAGCTGGACATGGAGGTAGAAAACATGGAGAACATTCCACTGGACCCTTCATCCGTGAGGCAGCCGTCGACTGCTGTCATTTCCTCGTCTGGGTGTGCAGGAGGCATGTCTCCTCCTTCTACGCATCAGTTATCCCCCATGCAAGGCCCGAGTACGCCATTACTGGGACCTGTTTCTAACTCTCCTCCCGGCCCACTTGCTTCAGCCTTGGTGTCTCCAGGACTAGCCTTGGACAAGCACTCAGGACATGCTTCGGCCAACGGGCCTGTCGTGGTGCTGCGGCCCAGTTTTGATGAGATACAACCCTATGCACACATGAACGGGGTCAGAAAGAACGAACGGGCGCTACCACTGCCCCAGTCATCAGCCTGCTGATATCAGACCAGCCCTCTCCTCCTTCCCCTTTTACACAGGGTATCACAGACCTCTCATCTGTCTCTTAAGGAGGGATGGATGAGGTAAGAAATTGCTTTCTTCTACTGTTTGCCAGTAGATGGTCTCTCCACTCTTAAGGTCAAACATAAACTCGGAAGAAATGGAAAACAAGATAGCACAGAGCAATTGGTGGCTCAAGCTCAACACTGGGAAACTCCATCCTGCGCAGCCTGTATCTGAGTCTTTGTTATGTAAGAGTCCTTAAAGAAGGAAAACGATACAGGCATGTATCCTGACTTACAGATTTACACATGAACTTTAAGAAAATCTTCTTTTTTTTTTAAAGCATATCTGCCAGCAAAACCAACAGAAGAGCACTTTTTCCTCACGATTTCAGAGGTGATGTGATGGATATTCAAGTGTGTATTTATACACATAATACATAATACAGCATAGCTCCATTTCTAAAATTACTTTCCATCAAAATGACTGTATTCACATGAGCAGACTGCCTCATGTTGCGTGAGGATTAGAAAGGTTCCAACTTTTCTGATCCTCTAAGATCTTTTTTTTTTTCATTTTATTTTACTGTTGATGTTTCTATGGGATTTTGTCCTGTGTAGGTCAGAATGGTAGAGGAAGATCTATTTTCTGCCAGACTATTGCCAAATCATGCTTTCTCTTCAGTTTCCTAAAAGGTGTCCCTTCTTACTGACGATTGTGGTTCAGAGTTGTCTGTGTGAAAGATAATGCCAAGATTGCCTGGCTGTTTTCAGTCTTCATGTTTATCTGTCACTGCTCCTGGAGCAGCTGTGTGTAGGAGTTTGCTGCCTTCACCATTGGTTATCACTTATTTTCTATGTTTAACGCAGATTTTACTGGTTCCATCTCAAAACTGAGGACTGGCTGACTTGTTCTCAGCCCATGTAATAATTTTTCTCTTTTTCTGTGTGCACACCAATCACATGGCGGCACAGTGGTATAGTGGTAAGAGCTGTCGCCTCACAAAGTAGAAGGTTCTGTGTTCAAACGCTGGCTGCAGACACTGTGTGGAGTTGACATGTTTTCCCTGTGCCTCTGTGGGTTCTCTCCAGGTACTCTGGCTTCTTCCCACAGTCCAAAGACGTGCATGTTAGGTCAATTGGTGTTTCTAAATTGGCCACGGATGTCTGCTACAGCCTGCATCCATGGCTATTTAAAATGTGACTGAGTGGTCAGCAAGACTAATAAAGCACTAAATATGTGAGAGCATTACAAACACCTGACAGATTTTCAGAAAAAGAGAAAAGCCGTGGTGCTGATTGGCTAATCAAAAGTTTGCTTGCCCACCTACATGCCCTTCATTACTTTCATCTTTCAAACATCTGAGGGAAGAAGGCATGTGATTGAAGCACAGCCAACTCTGAGTCACAGCCTCTGTCTTTGTTTAATTTATTTAAAAAAAGAAAAAAGAAAAAAAAAAAGACTGAAAACATCAAAGCATCAGAAGGTCGCACTTCAAATGAGCAAATCACTGAACTTTATACTTTACGAATACAACTCTGGCTCCACTTTGACTTCTTCTAACCTTTTTTTTCTGAGATTTTCAATTGTGCATTTCACAGTGGGAGGTGAACATGGTTCGCCGGCACTGCTGTACCGAATACAACGCAAGAGACAGAAAATGAGGTGATTTTAGTAGCCTAGAGACAGCTTTCAAGTCACAGGTGGTCTCTTTTTAGAACAGTCAATAGTTTATCTACATTTCAAACACATATAAAGGTCTTACAGTTGTATTTTTGACTGCAGGATCGTTTTTATACACTCATTGGTTTTTGTCACTTTTTTAAAACCTTTTTACGGTTAAAAAATGTTTGCCTCTATGTCTGTACAGAACAAAGCTGCTATTTTATTCTTTTCCTCTTTTGGATGATATATATATATATATATATATATATATATATATCATCCAATATATATATAAAGAAATCCTTCAGGTTTGGTATTTTATGGTCTCCACAACAGTCCATTTCTAATACCCTTAAACTGTTCAGAAAATATCCAATTTAAATCACAAAACGTGACCCCCGAAAGGTTTTCTGCAACACTACATTTTGTTAATTGCCTTTTCTTTTTATGAAATGTTTCTTTCTCTATTTCTGGATGTCTATATTATTATTATTATTATTAATGTTATTATTATTTAGAACGGACACCTTGGCTCAGTCTGTGAGCAGAGCGTGTACTTTCTGCATCCCTTTTTTTGTACTTTATTGTCTAGCACTGCGCCTGGCATTGGCCACTAGGTGCGACTCGATCTCAGGTCAAAGTTAAGGCTTTGCTTTCTCCACACATTCTCACAACATCATCCTGTACTTGCTTCACCATTTCCTCCTCCTTTCCTGCTCCTGATCATCATGACCCCCCCCTTCTGAAGTCAGGATAAGTTCCAGTATACGAGATATTTACCAGATCTGGTATTTTAACCCATCCACGTCCTGCCTCGTTTTTTTCCGATTAGATAGGGCTAAATTAAGTTGTCTCGTTTGCCTTAATATATGCCAACCATCTTTTAACCGTTTCACTTCTACTCCCTCCTCTAGCTCAGTGTTCCCTCTGCTGATTTCCTTTCTTCAGACTTATTGTTTAATCTTCACGACGACTGCTTCTTAAAACCAAATAAAGGATGGGTTAAAATCCAGGGAAGGGAACGCATTTCAATGTCACGAATGGCTGAATACTGAAAGTGTTTTGAAGGATTTCTGCTCATGTTACCTGGTGATTCCCCTTCCCCTTCTTTTATTTTATTTTTTTCTGTAGAAATGTTATTTATTTCTTCTTCTTTTTTTTTTTCCTTTTGTGATATCAGTTTAAATCACTGTATAAATGCCCCATGATTCAGTATAAAGTTGGATTTTTTTGTATGCATTTTCTTTGGTGTCATGACTGGGGGACTTAAAACCTTTTCTTTTTTTCCCCCCTTTAAGTATATCTACCTCACTCTTTTTAAATATATGTATGCATATGGAAAACAAATACATCTCACTCTTTCTCGTTTTTTTTTTAAACCCCCACAGGGATCTAGATAAACCTCACGAAGCGGACTAACACAGGAGATGGAATGGAAGTGTTGTTAAGTTACCCCGGCCATTTCTGGCCCAGCGGGTTAAAGCTTTTAGAAAAAAAAAGGCCCGCGCGTTTGCTCAAATTGAACAGCAGCCGTTAGTACGGTGTAGTTTTGCTCTCAGTGTTAAATGTAAATGAGTATTTATGTGAGGACATCGATCTACACTGTATTTTAACCGAGGCAGGTGCAGTACGTGATAAGACAGGAGGCCAGGGCTCAACACCACACATTCCATCTCCAAACATAAATGTCACAACCTCAAATCCTCAAAAGACAAAAACTTTTAATTTTTCCTCTTCTAAAATGCTTTTATATAAAAGTCTAAAATAAAAAATGTATATACATACATATATATATAGATAGATATAAAACGGGAAATATTTAAAAAGGGAAACTTTTTCATCACCTCCAATAAAACAATTTGACCTGCAGCCTGTGATGCTGCGAGCATACGGTGCAACTCCACCTCTCACTTTATTCCAAGCAAACAGATGGCATTCACTTTTTCAGAACAACAACAACAAAAACTAGATAGCTGTGAACTTTCCATAATATGGGGAAAGCAGCCTCCTACGTATTTCTAACTTCTGTAGGAACCCCTAAATCAATGATTTCCACGTTGGAATCACAAGAGCAGTAAAACAGTGTCATTTTCTACCCTTATAAACTCTTCGTGGTTATGTGAATGTCATCATCCCCCTTCCCCTTCCTTCCCAGTCTGAATGCCAAGACATTCTGACCCCAGCGTTCATTTCCACTCTCGTTATCGGTGCCACTCCCTCACTGTCCGTTCAGAGTTGTTTTGCTCTATCAAAAGTCAAGTCTGCAACCCCCGTTTTTTTTGTCTGGCCCGTTGTAACTGATACTTACAGTAATGCTGCTGGTTCAGTCACCTCAGTAGATCTTATTTTGTCACCACAAAATAGGAGGGGAAAAAAAGAGAGAGAACAAGCGTGAAAAGGTGGCAAAGTAGCTTTTACATCTCAAAGCGTCTCATTAAAAAACAAAAACAAAAGAAACCTCAGTGCTACTTTTTAACTCGCAGTGGCTACTTGGCGAGCGTTAACTCAGTGCAAGGGCTGATGGGCTGGGAACATTAGATAATTTGCATTTATATGAATACCCAAAAGCAATAAGAAAAGAAAATGGGATCACAGATAGGCAACCAGGTAACTTCTAATGTGAAATTTGGGTGCTCAATTAAAGTTCTTGGTAAATAAAAAAAATAGATAAAACTGTCTGATTGCTGTTTAATATCACAACGGTTTAAAAATCACCACTGACAAGCAAACAGCTTAGGTAGTTACTTAACATATCTATGCATTTCTGTTTTTGTTTTTTTGCTGTATTATGGTATATGTCAACTTTCCAGTTCTGAGAGTAGACACTGATCTGTTCTGAGGTGAATAGCTGTTGAATAACTAGTTACCATTAGATCACGAACCTGTCAAAGCTTACAACATTTACAATGAACTCGTGGACATGTATAGGACAGGGATGTTGCGTAGATTTACGGGTAGTCACGGTGAAGAGTAATCATGGTTAGAAAAAGACGATAGTTTACAGCTTCACGCGATACTTTTTTTTTTTGCGTTACCTTAGGTTTAAACAGCATAAATATACACTACAGTTTAGTCGTCTGTCAACATTTCAATTCTTCAGAATGTTCTTCATGCAAATGTCAGGTTTATGGAGAATGCATCAGTGCATTTAAACTGCAATAATAAGTTTGAGGTTCATCATCATCCTGCGCCTCTGTTTTTAATGATTTGCATTCCTGTACCTTCTGAGGGGCCTTGGTCTACTACTACTATTATTTTATTATCATGCTTTCACAAAATCTGTGTGTTCATTAGATTGGGGAAAGAAATAATCAAAACGAAAAATCACTAGACTGTCTTCTTTCAAGCTCTATATCTGAGGCCTCAAAGTTTTTCACACCTATAGCTGAGATGGTGTATTTTTTAAAACACCTTCTCTGAATATGTATCTGAGAATTTCTTGTATTTTCTTTCTCTTTTTTTTTTTTGCTGAAATTTTGAATAAATAAATGAATGAGAACTACGAATGCCTGCTATATTTAATTTTCCATTCACACCAATCAGTGGGTATCTGCTATGGATCACGATCTACCTCATTGACACAAAAGGGGGATCTCCTGTTTTTGAATGCTCCTCCAGCTGTTCCAGGATCTTCTGAATGAGGGCTTGCAGCAGAGGCACCAGTCTGTCAGCTGAGGCCAAGGTACCAGATGTGGGTATATGGATGAGGGCTGCTCTCCCCTGACCATGATACAGTGAGCAGTAATATGCAAAATCGCACAGGTACCTAAAAAGAAGAAATCAGCCATTATCTCATATTCAAGAGTGACTCTTGATCGTGCTGGAACACTTGCCTACCTGCCAGCATCTCTTGAATAAACTACATTCATCCCTGCTTGTCTGAAGTGCTTTGAGACTGCCCTCATGTTAATGACTGACTCCAGCTTCTGTGCCCCCCCTTCGACGCAGCAGCGAGTCTCTGGACAGTAGCCGCAGACATCTCGGTCTCTGTAGCCAGTGTTCTTCCCCGTTTGCTCCAAAATCACCACACTGGAGCCTCTGGCCAAACCCAGATGTACAGCAAACTGAAGTAAATGCACACAAACACAAGAGTGAGTTATTCACCTTGTGGTGGGATTTCTTTATTATTTATTTTTCATATTTGGAAGAAGCACAATAAACATTTTGGAAATCTACTGACAGAATTAAGTTTTAAACTAATAAGGTGATCAGTCTACAAGTCACATTTCGCTTTATTTTTACCTTTGGGTTAAGAGTGTGCCAGAGCTCACCAATAACTTTCTGGGTTTTCAAGTAACTCACTGGTAACTCCCTCACATGGACGTCAACATTCTCCCCCAGTCCGATCAGTTTCAACCCCTGCAATCATTTTTCAAATGAGTTATTTTCAGACTCAGTCAGCCGGTGGCGTTGATCGTTATTACCTTGGCGGCTTCCCAGCTGGTGTTGGTCAAGAACTGTCGAAAAGGTCCAAAACCTTAAAAGTAAATCGAATTTGCCAATTCAAAATAAAAGTCGGTCCGGTGCGATTATGGAGGACATGAACATTTACAGTTTACCTGTAACGACCACAGTTTCGCTTTTATTCATAGCCGAACCGAGATTGCAGCGCCTGTAACGGCAGTTCAGGGATTTCATGCAAGGATACTAAAACGTAGATAGATTTTCTTTAGCTTTCGCTATTCGTTTACTGTCCGCTTGGGGGCGCTCATCTCTGATAAATGTGATGCCCCTGTGAGGGTGATGCATTCAGGTGTCTCAGGAAAGTTATGCCATCCACAAATCATATTGAACTTAAAACAGCGAGACAGACTAGCATTTGTACTCTCAATAACACTTGCAGGCAATTTAGAATCACCAAAAGTCACCAACCCCACTAAGTGCATGTCTTTGGACTATGGGAGGAATCTGAAGAGAACATGAACAAGACCTTCTTGCTGTGAGGAAACAGAGCTACCCACTGCGCCACTGTGTGTACGTTGTATTTATCCATATTAACTACTTTCTTGCACAATCTCAGTTTACCTTTTACTTTCCTTCAACTTAACCTTAAATCGCTGTTGGATATATTTAAAGTTCTTGCACTCTCACAGAATCAAGCCATCACTATGTTCTGCCTCTGGCACATTTACTTTAACTTGTGTTTATTTAGTGTAGGATGTTCTATTTTTAAATATTTACCCTGGTGCTGTAACACAATAACTTCCCATGCAGGGTGAAGAATCTATCGGTCTATTATGGCAAGTAAACAACAAAGGCAAGCACTTCATTGAAAGAGTAAATCTTCTGAATTAAAAAGTATTAGGGTAAAAAAGATTCAATTAAAATTAAAAAAGCAAAATGAAAAAGCAAATTTACCAAATCTGCAAACTAGACGCTTACGACATCAGTGGGAATATATTTTAAGTGTAACACACATTCTAAATAATATATATTTATACATTCTAATATGGAGCTATATTATAGCTGCAGTTAAATGTAGACTGGCTTTTACATGTGGGAGAAAAAGCCAAAAGGTAAATGTAGCCAAAACCAATATACTGTGTTTAAACCTCAATTATTATCATTTTTTAACTCGTGTACGTTTCTTTTTAGCTTGTCCTTTCTTTTATTTATAGTTGCGGTGAGTTTAGCATTATAGTATTTCAGAGAGCACTTAAACGCAACATAACAACGGACAGGGACGGAGGGACACGCTCGGGACGCTGCTATGATGCAGCAAAGGACCCGCCCTCCTCCTCCTCCTGCACTTGTCAAAGGCCACCGATCACAAATTACATCACAGTCGCGCCCACGGACGAAGACGCAAATTGATGCCGGGAGAATCCGTCTCCTAAATAATAAATAAAATCACCGGACATTTTTCTCCATCTAACTTAACAGAGATAATTAGTTACCACAATGCTCCCTTTCAAGAGAACTTTTGAGAGCGAGAAGCACCAGCTGCAGGAGCTCAACAGCAGACTTACCCAGTATCTATCCAGAACCAAGCAGCTGGAGCAAGAAAACGCGCATCTCATTGCTGAAATAAATAAACTGAGACAGGTGAGGACTACCGGATGGGAAACTAAGTACAGGGCTGAGATGCAGGACCTGCGGAGAATGGTGGGGCAGCTGTCGTTTGAAAAGTCCCAGGCTGAGATGGAGAGGGAGAAGCTATGGCGGGAGTTGCAGATGATCCAGAGTCTGTGCAGCGAGCAGACCGATGTGTGCCGGGACGTCAGCGGCGAACTAAAGAACTGCGAGCAGGAGCTTCATCACGCTCACAAAACCAACAGCGAACTCCAGCAGCGGCTGCTGCAACTAGAGAACGAGTATAAACGCTTAGAGGATGCACACAGGGAAGAAGTGAGCCGCCTTTGCAGTCAGGTGGAGTCCCGAGTGGCACCCATCATCAGGCAAACTTATCGTGGGCCTCCGGTGGTCTCCGTGGAAGAGGTGCAGGAGTATGCCCACGGTATGTCCGAAGGATGGATTCAGACCTTCGAAATGTACCAGAAGACGGTAGAAGACATGGAGCAGTCAATTAAAGCGGACCAGGCAATGCTGAACGACATGCAGAGGGAAAAGATGCTGTATGCGTCCGAGTTGGACAAATTACGCACGGAAGCGGAAAAACAAGGGCAGATTCAAATGCGACTTGAGGAGCAACTGATGCACATGCAGGAAAAATTCCGTGTGGACTACAGTCAGTATCAGGTAAGGACGAATTAATTGTGCTACAGTAGAAGAAATGTTTAATTTGGCATTGTTTGATTCGTTTTATCAACAAACAAACAAACGACAAACCACTTTCAGTAAACCCCGCAAAATAAGCTCTAATTTTGGAGACGGGGGAGCGGCTTGTCCCTTGCTGCCCTGCCACACCCACTGTCCTTAAAGGTACTCATGCAGCTGCAGCTCACAGTGGCTGCTACAAATGTTTTCGATCTTTCTAATAATGTGAAATTTACATTCACATTCCAATAATGTGAAATTTATATATATATATATACACACGCTGCACCATTCTGGCGTCTGTACCAAAATGCTACACAATAAATAAGGAGGGGTCATTATTCAACAGTGAGCAAGGCCTGTCAAGTTTATGTACCCATAACTAAAAAATATGGATTGTGCACAACATTTGACGTCAGTATACCAGGACAGCATAGCTCCATTAGCTGGACAAACGCTATACTTCCGCCCTAGTACCGTCCAACTGCTAGATTACACCAGCCACTTAAACCAATTAGCTGTCAGACTGACAAATCCTTATTAGCCTGAAGATGCAGTCTAAAGCAGGCCAGTCAGTTACATACCACTTCTCTTTCCACCCACTGCAGGGCTGTCTTCAGTAAAGTCACACCAAATACATTCCTCTGTTTATCTGTATGTAAGGAAGGCAAATGTTAACATTACTGGAGAGGGTTTATGCACAATACACAAAGCACTACTTGAGAGGACACGCCTAAAAACTTCAAATCTGTTAAGAGCACTAAAAGCTGCCTTGAGATGAATTATGGTTTCCTGTTTTTGCTTTTCCCCCCCTACCATCAGATGACTATTGAACAGCTGGAGCATGAGAGGAATGTGATGGCTGATGTTATAGCACAAAAAATGAGAGAGCATCAGCAGCTTCTCCAGGTGAAGATGGATCTAGGAATGGAGGTTGCTACTTACAGGTGATGAAACCATTTAGTTTGTTCATTTTTTGTCTAAATAAATGAAATGGATATTTTATGTCACGTCAAGTTTAAGTCTTTTCCCAGAAGCCATTTTTACTTGTGTTAGCATGAAAAGCACAGATGGCACGAATAAAAACACTATGAGAGACAATCAGCAGTCAGCGTTATGCAACTCTTCAGTAAGCCTTTATTATGTGATATGAACCATACCTGGGTGCTAGAACCACATAGGAGTATGTGTTTCACTGCTTCCCTTACTGTGAGGGGAAATGTCTTCCATAGAAGAAGTACATGTGGCGTCTTAAATGTTTTAGAGACACGTTTAATACAAGGAAAAGCTGTCAGATGCTTTTTGCAAAGGTGTTGCTAACAGTCAGTCTACTTTAAAAAGTGTAAGCTACAACAATTTTGAACGATTTTTGTGTTGTTCATGAAGAACTCCTTTGGGGAATGAGCGCATGTGAAAACAGAGACAGTAATGGTTATTTGTTTGGAATCATTATTTTTTTTTCATTTCTTAAGAAACAATTGTAGAAAACATTGTAGAAACAATGGCTAAAATGCAGAAGCTTTCTTTATTCTGAGATATTTCTATGGTTTTGAAATCAGATTACTGATTAAACCAGCCCAAATACCTCTTCAAGTTAATCTTAACTCAATTAACTTCATAATTTACATAAGGAGACATACTTTGCTTGCTCATCCCTGGTTTTGGCACTAATTGCTCAAATCTAAGATCTCAAACAAAAGTCACATTAAGCTAATATAGCTTGGATTCATATTTTTCATTGTTCACTCACACCCCACCTGCAGTGGCTCCATGCACCAACAGTGGAGACTGCTGTACAGTTTAAAAAACCCCGAGCTGCTTAACTGAAAATTAGTGTCTGACAAGGTTACATAAATACTACACATACTATAGATGATTCTTAAGTAAAGCTGTTAGAGCATATTGTGTGAAGGAGGACTGATTTTATAAGCAATAACTTGTCTTGTTATAGCACTCAGTGTGTTGGCTTCATGTTCATGACACAGGGAGATGCTAAGATCTCAAAGCTCTTTATAAAACAGTGGGTAAACACTGTACTGGAATGTTATATCAATGTACCCTTGACATATTATAACCTCTTGCCTCATATTGACCTACATTTAAACAGACTTATATCAAAGATGGTGATAGATATTAGCATTTTAGCTTTAGCTTGCCTCTATATGGCAGGCTCTCCACAGGCACAACTGGTTTGTTTTGAACTTTTGGAATAGACAGAATACCTTATTAGAGACGTGGCAGCGGCATTTGTTTTTGTATGCGTCACGTGTCCGTTTTTGCTCTGGGATTCACAGGGAAGCATAGACAGCCATGCTTTGTGGGCGTTATTTTTAGGCCAGTCTTTCGGAAGGCACTCTCCAGAGAAGTTGCTCGTTTCATTTGCTATTGTATGTCTGTTGAAGCATGGCCAAGGAAAGGTGAGCTGTTTCAAATACTAGTAATGCATCGATATTAAATGACGGTGGCTTATTTGAATTTTTAAGACTACTACCCTATATGGTCAGGTACAGCATTCATGCCTTCTCGTAAGCCAGTTGTGTTTAGTTTGAGAGGGTTGAAATGGCAGAGCTGAAGGATGTACACGATCCCATGAGGTACTTGTCTTTGATGTTTTGAAAATATTTGAGAAATTAACTTGAGTTAGGACCTTTTTGCCCCTGTCTTCATATGTAATTTGCCTTGTCTCTGTTTAGGGCTCTTCTGGAGGGTGAGCGAATCAGTCTGCAAGATGCTCATAAGCGAGTGAATCAACATCAAAGAGAAAGAATAATAGGTATGTTTCTCAGTTATTTTTATTGATGTGATAATGATGGGAAAACACTGCAAGACTGGTTTCTACTTGGATAAATCATTTACACATTTATTAAGCAAAACTGAAAACAAAATGTCAATTCATCAAATAATTATTACTAATTACTTCTTTACTAATTACTTTTGACTCAGATATCAAAATGCCTGCCCGACGCTATACTCCAAGAGCTTCCACCTTAACCACCAAACAGCACATGGATGTAAGGTACATGCCATCGACTTCAAGCTTGAGAAGAGCCCCCATCCCTTCCTCTGGGTCCATAAGTCCGTCTAGGGTCATCCCTATTTCAGTTACAGGAAGAGCTCGCCATCAGAGTCCGGCATCCAGAAGGGATATGATCTCATTTAACAAAGCTCGGGCAGCTGCTTCTGCCTCTGCTACTACCATTACCACCACCAGTACTACAACCAAAGATAAGCAAGCAGGCCATAGTGAAAACCAAGTCAGTCGGAGTGTACCAAAAAGAACAGCAGAAGAGCAAACTGTGAAACTCATCTGGCTCCCACACACAGAGGGCCAGATGAGTCCTGACAAGTCTTCTACTCCTGATACCAAATCAGTAAGAGTGGTGTCACCATCAATGAAGAGCCTAGTTACGGAAACCGAGACCGAAAGCAAGAAGTATGTGTCAGATGAAAAAGAAAAAGGCCCCGTTGTCGACGGCAAGGTCAAAGACAAAGGAAGAACAGAGTTTACAATAGGCTCAGCTGAGAAAAAGATATTAGACTCTGTGTCTGTAGAAGAAATAATTGAGAAAGTGATAAAACCAGCAGGTTTGGAAGCCAAGGTCTGTTCAGCAGGAGATTCAAAAGTCAGATATCACGTGGAGAAAACTGAGCAGGAGGATGGCACGACTAAAACACAAATCGTGCTGGAGTCCAAAGTGGAGGAAGAGCTGGATGTTTCTCAGGACAATGCCCTGGAAGAACTGTTGAAACAAGGTGTGAAGAAAGTGTCACTAGAGGACATCAAGGACACAGCAACAGGAAGCATGGTCAAGAACCTGCTGAGTGGCTTGCAAGGAGGAGAGGACTTACAAAATAAGTCAGTCAATGTGGAAATCATCGAGGAACCAGTGGAGTCTTACAGTGATGAAGAACTTGAGGCTGAGCAGAAGTCCGGGTTGACTTTTCATGAGCCTTCTGCATATTTTGAAGTTGAGGAGCCAGAAAATATCCCTCATGGCATTCAAGGTAGCAGGGGGGATGATAATGTCATGAAATCCAACACAGATGAGTCAAAGTTTGGATCTGTACAAGTCCAAGAGGTCTCTAGAGAGAGTGAATATCCACATTTCTCCCATGATCAAGAGTCTCATGAGTATTTTGTCTCCACACCAGATGAAAATCTTTCTGAATCTGAGGAGGGTGGCGGGATAACCTCATATGGCCATTATGGAATTGTAGATGACCTGTCGGATGAGAGGTATTATCAAGATGATGGCCTTCCCCAGAAAAAAGTGACTGTAAAAGAAAGTGATGAATATGAGTTTATGTCAGGTGACCGGTTGTTTGCCAAAGAGAGTTTTCCAGAGTGCATAATAGAAGAAGAGGTTCGGGTCTCACCTGTAGTGCAAGAGTCAGTGCTTGAGTACCTGAGAGAAGACTCTTTGGAGCCCAAAGAGCAGCTGAAAGGAGCTCTTGAGAAGCTACAAAGTTCAGTGTCGGGACCACTGAAAGAGGAGTTAGCTTTCCTCACCAGAGTGAGTAGTGAAAGTCCAGAGAATGTAGCCGTCGGTGTCAAAAGAGTGGAACAGTCCACTGACAATGGAACCATGACTATAGTTGCAGAGCTAAATGTTTCTCAAACCCTGGAAGAATCTGGGCTGCTGGAAGGAGATGACCTATCTGAAGATCAGATCATGGCAGCGCTCAAGTCTTCTAACATAGGGATCGAGAAAGCCTTCCAGAGTGGGGCGGGAGGAGGATACAGCATTAGAGTTTCCAGAGAAGATAATGTTGCTCATAGCGTGGAGTATGGCGACTTCAGCGACAAAGGAGAATCTGCATCTGAAATCAGTGAGAAACATTTTAAACTGGGGCCATCAGACAAGTCATTTTCCTTCCAGATGGATGTACACGGTGGCCATGACGAGGCTGCCTCAGAGCAAGAGCTGCAGCCTCCAGTCCTGGAGATGCCAGTGAAGATTTCACAGGAGAAAAGAATCGCAACAGTTTACCTTGAAAGCCCTTCTAATGACTAAGAACTAAATCTGATTACTTTTTTCAAATTGAATAATTGCCAGTGCATTACGGTATGTTTACTTAAACATACAAAGCATATACTAATGGTGATTGCAGGAACTGTATTCATGCTATTTTTCAAGTAAACAAGCGTACTTATAATCCATAAGACTAGATTACCTAAAACAGAGTACTAGCTATTTAGTTAAAAGTATCTGATTTTCATATATGAATTTTTCTTTTTGCCATTGACTGCAGAGATCCCTGTGGGCTAGATTGTGTAAGGACTGAAACATCTACATATTGTAGCCATATTTAATGGTAGGCAATGCTGTGTGCTGTACTAGTATGTTTGGCTTTTCATAAGGTGCAGTTTGAATATCCTTGATTATTCTCTTTATAGTGCTTCATTTTGTACTAACCTACACTTAACAGCTTAAACAGCTCATTCTACAGTTTACAGCATATAATCCACCCAACCATCATGTCGTGGCTGTACTTGCCATGATGTTAAGTCTCCTTGGTCAGCATTTATTGCTCTCTGGGTTACAAGGTGCTGTGCACTGTTTGCAGAATAGGGCTTTAATTTTTTATGTTTTGAGCACCTCTAGAAAATGGAATGATGTTAGTACACAGCACATGCTGGAACACAGTGGTTTATATTAACAAGTCATTGCTAACATGTGTTCAAGACTGTTGACCTTGTGACTGAGGATAATATCATGAGAGTTAAAAAAAAAAAGAAGATCTATTTGCTTTAGAATTTGTCTTAACAAAGCTCTTGTGAAGCTTAAAAGTGATTTCTTGGGGTTTCTAGGGACGGCGCAGTGGTTAGCACTGTTGCCTCACAGCAAGAAGGTCCAGATTTCAACTCCACCATCTGGCTGGGGACTGTCTATGTGGAGTTGGTTAGGTTAACTGATGATTCTAAATTGCCCATAGGTGTAAATGTGTAACTGTCCAATGTGTATCCTGCCACTCGCCCTATGACAGCAGGGATAGGCTCCAGCACCCCCAAGGGAGAAGCATGTTTTTAAAAAATAAAACAAAAAGTCTATTTTAACATGTGCCAAACATTTGTAAATTGCAAACAGTTAAGATTTTGTTTTGAGCATATAATTGGGGGTAACACTGCATTTGGAATTCTAAATGGGACCATTTAGAATTCCAAACATGGCTGTCAAGTTGAAAACAATATCCAGATAAAACGATTAAAGTAGCAGCAGAGGTGTTTTGCATTAAAAGGATGTTGCAGTGACCTATGTGTGAAAGTAATCACACATAGGTTTGATCTTTGTCATGTATAGCACTTATGGCTTGTCCACAGCTGTTGGCTTTCAGTGTTGGCTTGAAGGATTCAACTTTGCTCTGACCTACGAGTGTGTTTATAACCGCACCTATTTTTGGATCATCAGCTTAGCATTGAGTGTTGACTAGAGTTTGTTGTGTTGTGTATGCGTTACAGAGACAGAAATGAAATAGCATGTGTACCGTCTGGTTATTTTTTTTGCTTATTTTCTCTAACAGCGGCTGTATAATTTACTTCTAACTACTGAAAAGTCTTTGCAAGTCAACTTTCTGGTATGATGGTAAAGCAATCCAAAAATACAACATCTGGCATGAATGCCATGCTTTTACAAATAAAATAAATTAGCAATCTACAAAAAGAACCCTTCATTTCATGATTTGTTGTGATTTACTCTTTAAACTCAAACACTCCTATATCAGTGCACCTAAAGTGTTTGTTATTAATCTTTATGCGGTTATTATCTCATTAGTGAATGAGTGACTAATACAGTGTTTAATAAAGGTCAAATGGAGAGACTGAAATCATTGATTTATTCTGAATTCTTTTGAGACCATTGCTTATATTGGTACTAATTCCAGTCCTTAGATGAAAATTGCCCCAATATTATAACATCATTAAAAAATATTATGTGTATGTTTTGTTTGAGTATTTATTTAGACTTTACTTTCTTCACCTAAAGTGCAAATTGACAAAAAATCAAGTACTGCCAGATGACAAAAACCATTTAGTTACAAAAACCATCATGACGGAATATCAACCGTTGGCTTAAACTTTAAACCACACTGAAAACAAACAAAACAAGTGTGTTCAGTTATGAAGTTTTAATTATTACCACTGGATGGTACAAGTGGAAAGATTAGAGGTCGTTTTCCTTTTACCTTTCTTCTCAGCCACCTCTGGTGCCCTGAGAAACATAGAGGACACAGTTGCTTTACTAAAACATGAAACATGAGCTGCATTCTTATAAGTGTCTGTTAGGTTTACCCTAATGTAATCATATTATCAAAAAGAAATAAATGCTAAGTGTTGACTGGTGAGGCCTGTCAGATTTCTTAACATAAGAACACTGTGATTATTTCACAAATTTACCTAGCCAGCATGTCCACAGCTTTTTTTTTTACTGCTTTGGTCTTCTTGTGCTGACGCCCATACAAGGATCTCTGGATTTCAGGCACTACATACGGGGAAAAAAGATAGCCGAGAGAGTGGTCAATGGAAGATAAGTGTTGAAACTCAAGCTCGGAGGGGAAGCGCCACTTCCTAGCAACATGTGAACGCACTAAACATACCAAAATAACCACTGTAGCTGCCCAAGGTTTAGATAACACCTGTGCCAACTGCCCAGAGTGTCAGATCAACAAGCAGGATTTGATTTATTATGAAGACCCATCAGCAATCTGCTGTAAAATAAAGACTCGGTATGAGGCAGTTGTTGTGAGAGAGAGAGAGAGAGAGAGAGAGCGAGAGAGAAATAAGCAACTTCATAAGAAACTGTTATGTAAGTCCCCCACCCAAAAAAAAACAAATCAAAACCTTCATCAGGAAACACGTATATGATTACACAATGTGCCCACACAAAGTGACACAGCAGACATGATGAATGGCTGTCAGCCATTTCTAGAATCACCATAAATAACAGTTTAAGAGAGCTTTATTAAAGCAGGGAAAAGAAGAGTGAAAAGTTACCGTCCTCACCGGGGAAAGTGAAACACTGCTAATATGGAACAGATCCATTTGGCCTCCTGAATGTTTTCACTGTTGCTAAGGTTGATGTAATGGAAGGCCTTTTTTTCAGCTGCACTTCAGAGGAAGGGGGAAAATGTCAAAAGCGTAGCTGTATGTGGGCTATTGTTCTCTTTGTTTTTAAAACTTCTTATGCATTGTATCTGCTACACAAGCCGGCTTAACTTCGGAAAAGAAAAAGTTACTCATTTTGAGTGATGTCATGAGGAAAGCAGTGAAAAATAAACACTCCGGGCATATCTGCTCTCTGTCAGAAAGTTTACCACTTGAACGGCGAACAGAGAAGAGTGAGCCCTGGTGTTCCATGTCATACTTGGACCCCGACTCTGCACTTTAACAGCAATAACACAGCAACATAGCAACCAGGCTCCTTCACTTAGAGGCATGTCATTACTAGTGTGGAGCAATCCCCCCTTTCCTGGTATATTTTAGTACCAGTGTTCTGTTGCTGGTAGAACTGAGCTCATGTGGCAAATAATATACAGCATGTTAAAAAAAACCTCATTACATAAGGAATAAAGAAAACCTGTAAGAGCTATGAAAAGAGAAATTGAATTAAATGAACTAAAGAGCTGCTGTTTATTCAGTGCTTGTGTGGTGATTGACACAGAAATGCCACTTTTGTTTCAAAGGACATAAAGACATACCGCAGTAATTGGGGTCAGCCTCCTATTAATTGAAAACAGCAAACTGTAATTTCCTTCCCAAAAGTGTTGCCCATCTGTCAGACTCCATCCAAACCAAAGAAGCACAAAGTCATTCTTCAGGATATTTTACACCAGAGAGAGGCCTTCCAAGATTAGCATGCAACTCTGATAACGTTGAGCTCTAGAGGGATGGTGGAAATAGCTCAACTCAAAATGACTAGATATTCTGAAATGACCTCTCGCCTTCTTACTGTCAGAGGTGACGACAACTACTGACCTTTTATTAAAATTCTATGATGTCATGTTCAATGACAGTAAGTAGTCCTCTGTCAGCATTACACCTACACAGGTGTTAACCAAGACAAATATGTGCTCTGTAACACATGATTATTGTTAGTGTCCTGTAAGCCTGGCTTATTCTGCCCTTGGTCATCTCCACTCATCCAATCAGCTGAAGGGTATCGGCTACCTCAGCACCCAAGTCATACAAATCTTTTAAAATCAAGAGAGGTTCTCTGGATCTCTGCACATTTCTACAGTGGTACAACAGGTAAATAACTTCTTATTTCCTACTTTATCTCCAGATAAAGCAAGTAAATAATGAAACTTTAAGGGGATTCATCCTTTTAAACTTTTGTATGACGTTCTGTGCCTCAAAATAATCTTATGGAAATCTGGCTGTCTTATAGAGATCGTAGTTTGTGAGTGGACGTAACCTGTTTTTGTCTATTCTTTAGGAGAAAGTGACAGAAGTCATCCTGGGCAACAATAAAAGCAGGATCCTGTGGACCTACAGAGTTCTTCTATGCTTTTAAAGTTTGATCAAATTAGTGACTTGCAGAATCTAAAACAGCAAAGGGGAAAACACACAGGCACACATAACACACACACATTTGACAATAACTGATTCTGAAAACTTGGCAGCACTAGCTAATACCTTCAATATGAGCACCTTAATAGTGAGATCAGTTGTTTGGGGTTGTAACTAAGAAATCCTTGTATTCTCTTTACAGTTTCCAGACGTTATGCTTTATATGACTACAGTAGAGAATAGATTGCCCATTGTTGACATTAGTGATACTGAGGTCTTCAAAAAGGCTACCATAAAGCTGGATTCTGTATTACACCATTTGACATATAGACAGTGGAATATTTAAGTCCCAATTAACTTCTCTGGCCCAGCCTTTATCTGTGAATAGACTTACCATTGTGATGGGGTTCTGCTGCAACAGAAAGGATGAGGGCCAGGCTGTGGGAGATCTGAGCCCCCTCCAGCTCCTCTAGGCCATGACTCACAGCTATGGCATGAGCCTAACGGAAACATGCACATGAAAAAATGAGAAATCGCATACTACCAAGTAAGAGCTGAAGGAAGACTGGCAAATGACATCAGTATCTCAGGAAGCCGTTGTGTTTGTATATGTTGTGCAGAAGAATTGTATATAATGTGCAAGTTGTGTTAACTTGAATCTGCTTGTCTTGGAAAGATGCTCTGTGGCCTTGGTCCTGTTTAATAGTGGCCATATCCCTATAGACAGAGCAGGTCCTCTCTGGATTACTACAGTCCATCAGCAGTTGCAGGGACTTCTGACACTGGCTTAAAGCTTTCTTTGGTTTGTTCTGTCTCTTATAGATTCTACAGAGAAAGACATGCAAATACTCAGATTGACAGGAAGTTACTCAATGTTCTCCTGAGTCTAAGTTTCATATGCATGCAGTCCTTGATCATTTTGATTGCCCATACCATAAACCAACTATGTTAGGATATAATTAGGATGTTGAATTATATCCACAAGAAATCTGTGGTATGTCTTTCCATTATGGAACAATGATCTTCCTGGTATAGAACTGTGCAGGTGATAGGAGTACACTGAAGCCATTGCATCTTTGTGTCTGTATATTCTGTGTCTGGCATTGTACTTTGATTTCCATCTAGAAGATCATCAAAGAAAAGACTATTAGTAATAGTGCAATTATTAAACTGCCAGAAAATTAGTGTCTAGTATATAACCACAAACATTTTACTTTAATACTATGAGCCTGTTTAATAAGACTAAAGTACAGTGGGGCAAAAAAGTATTTAGTCAGCCACCGATTGTGCAAGTTCCCCCACCTAAAATGATGACAGAGGTCAGTAATTTGCACCAGAGGTACACTTCAACTGTGAGAGACAGAATGTGAGGGGTCAGCGGGGGAGCTGGCCCCAGGGAGGGGTTACCTGCCCCTCCCTTCCTTCCCTCCCCATCTCCAGCTGCCTCCCTCTTCCCGCTCCTCCACAACCACCCACACATGCAGGGCCTTGGAGTGGGGTATGTCACCAGGGTGCAGAGGAGGCTACCCCCCCCCCCCCCTGTCCCCTTCTGGCTGCCTCTGCCTCAATTTTATCCCACAACTTAGACATTCACATTATTCACACTCTCATTACACATACATATAGGATCTTGGGGGTGGGCACAATCACGGAGTCCAAATCACCATCAGGGTGTATACCTCACCCCTGACGTCGTTGCCCACCTCTCAATTTTAAATACACTTAGTCATTGAGGGTTAGCAGGAGGGACTATGCGCTTACCTGCTGCTCCTTGGCAGGTAGCTCCATGCCCTCCTGGGTTTTAATTGCACCTTAGAACACATATGCATCAACACTACAATGAGCGGGTGGAGGGAGGTTTGGAGTCTTCCCCCACCCCCATTCTCTGCGGCCTGCTGGAGCGGGAGGGCTAGTAGGAGGAGTTGGCCGTCCGACTGCGGTCTGGGGTGTGGGGCCTCCCTGCTGCTGCGGAGTCGGGGTGGTCTGCCTCTCCCCACCGCAGGGAAAAGGGTAACACCACCTGGGTCTGGGTGCAATTCCCCCCTCCAGGGCAAGGGTACCTAGACCCGGTTTGTAGAGTACGCTTGGGGAGTGTGATTGTGTGTACAGCGTCTCTTTATGTCTGTCTCCACGTTGGTTGAGTGTGGAGTGAGTGCATATGAGAGCATGAGGGTGGGAATGGATGTTTGTGTCTGTGTGTGCCTGTATGTCTGTGTCTATATGTCAGGTTGGGTACCAGACGCCACCTCTCTGGGGACACCTCAGGCCCTCCAAGGTTTGGAGGCCTATCTCCACCCACCACCACTTCCCCTGCCGGTGGCGGACTCCCTCAGGTGTCGGTGTGTTGGTGGTTCTTTGTGTCTGGGGGTGGGCGTCCGGGTACACACCGGCTCACTCCTTGGCGGCCGCTTGTCGGGGCCTGGGGCCTGGGGCTCGCTCGGGCCCCTTTGGAGGTGGGGTGCCCCCGGCCTCTCGGCCTAGGGCTCGGTCACTCAGGCGCAGCTGGGGCCGGCGGAGCTCACGGGCGCGTCACTGCAACTCCCCCTGACTTCTGCTCCGCGGCTGCTGGGCGAGCCCTCATCTGGGACTCTCCTCAGCTCTTACTGGGACAGTGGCGCGGCTGCCCCTCTGTTGGTCTTCCATGGTCTCTTGTGTTCTGGGGGCCTCTGGATGTCTGGAGTTTTGATCTCCTCCATACCCGCTTCACACCCTGGAGGACGGGGCTGTGGCCCCCCCACACTCCCTAGCAGATCATTACATGGAGAAACCTTTGGAATGCAAGCATGCTGATCCACACAGGTATGCACACATGGGTATTCACAGACGCGGACTAAAGCTTTCTTGGCTGCTGCCTCAAAGCACACTGTGCGCTGTCTATCTTGCGTGCTGCACAATATCGTTTATTACTTAGTAAATACTGATATCTATGACTAGCTAGTTTATTGTGATGGTGCTTTGTTTTCTCTATTATTATGTTGCTCTTTGTTGTTTGCTGTCTCCTCTGTTTGTTTTTGTTTGTTTGTTTGTTTTTTTTCTTCTCCATACAGGTGACCCAGGAGTTCTTTTTTTTTTTCTCTCTCTTCCCCCCCCTTCTCACCGTCTCTTCTCCCCTTTGGTTTTCTTTCTTTCTCTCCCCCTCTCTCTCTCATTCATTCCCCCTGTCCTATTTATTAAAAAAAAAAAAAAAAAAAAAAAATGACAAAGGATGAACTGAAGCTCTGCCATCACGTAATGTCGCATACTGCTGTTTCTGATGTCATTTAAAAAAAAAAAAAAAGAGAGACAGAATGTGAAAAAAAAATCCATGAATCCACATGGTAGGATTTGTAAAGAATTTATTCGTAAATCAGGGTGGAAAATAAGTATTTGGTCAATAACAAAAATACAACTCAATACTTTGTAACATAACCTTTGTTGGCAATAACAGAGGTCAAACGTTTACTATAGGTCTTTACCAGGTTTGCACACACAGTAGCTGGTATTTTGGCCCATTCCTCCATGCAGATCTTCTCGAGAGCAGTGATGTTTTGGGGCTGTCGCCGAGCAACACGGACTTTCAACTCCCACCACAGATTTTCTATGGGCTTGAGGTCTGGAGACTGGCTAGGCCACTCCAGGACTTTCAAATGCTTCTTACGGAGCCACTCCTTCGTTGCCCGGGCGGTGTGTTTTGGACCATTGTCATGTTGGAAGACCCAGCCTCGTTTCATCTTCAAAGTTCTCACTGATGGAAGGAGGTTTTGGCTCAAAATCTCACGATACATGGCCCCATTCATTCTGTCCTTAACACGGATCAGTCGTCCTGTCCCCTTGGCAGAAAAACAGCCCCATAGCATGATGTTTCCACCCCCATGCTTCACAGTAGGTATGGTGTTCTTGGGATGCAACTCAGTATTCTTCTTCCTCCAAACACGACGAGTTGAGTTTATACCAAAAAGTTCTACTTTGGTTTCATCTGACCACATGACATTCTCCCAATCCTCTGCTGTATCATCCATGTGCTCTCTGGCAAACTTCAGACGGGCCTGGACATGCACTGGCTTCAGCAGCGGAACACGTCTGGCACTGCGGGATTTGATTCCCTGCCGTTGTAGTGTGTTACTGATGGTGACCTTTGTTACTTTGGTCCCAGCTCTCTGCAGGTCATTCACCAGGTCCCCCCGTGTGGTTCTGGGATCTTTGCTCACCGTTCTCATGATCATTTTGACCCCACGGGATGAGATCTTGCGTGGAGCCCCAGATCGAGGGAGATTATCAGTGGTCTTGTATGTCTTCCATTTTCTGATGATTGCTCCCACAGTTGATTTTTTCACACCAAGCTGCTTGCCTATTGTAGATTCACTCTTCCCAGTCTGGTGCAGGTCTAAAATACTTTTCCTGGTGTCCTTCAAAAGCTCTTTGGTCTTGGCCATGGCGGAGTTTGGAGTCTGACTGTTTGAGGCTGTGGACAGGTGTCTTTTATACAGATGATGAGTTCAAACAGGTGCCATTCATACAGGTAACGAGTGGGGGACAGAAAAGTGTCTTACAGAAGACGTTACAGGTCTGTGAGAGCCGGAGATTTTCCTTGTTTGAGGTGACCAAATACTTATTTTCCACCCTAATTTATGAATAAATTCTTTACAAATCCTACCATGTGAATTCATGGATTTTTTTTTCACATTCTGTCTCTCACAGTTGAAGTGTACCTCTGGTGCAAATTACTGACCTCTGTCATCATTTTAAGTGGGGGAACTTGCACAATCGGTGGCTGACTAAATACTTTTTTGCCCCACTGTACCTACAGGTTGTCTAGCCTGGTTGAGGCCTTGTAGAGAGAAAAAAGAGCTTTGGCTGATGGTTCCAGTTGAGGCTTGGTGCAGTGCAGACAATAATAGGGAAATGTGCCTTTCCGACTCTTTTTGTTGCATCTATTCACAAGTTAAATGCAACACTGTTGGTAGCAATGCTAATTAAACTCTCATTTTAAGGATGTCTAAATAAGTGGAGATTCTTATAGCCTCAGTGGAAACTACACTTTCAGAACTGACAGAACAGGGTAGCTTGGAGGTTTAATATGTCTGTGAAGGTTCTCACAGGTTTAATGTGCGTATATACCATTGCAATGGTATATACCAATTTGTAACCCATTTGTTATTGTGTGCTTTTTTATTTTGCATGTTTGTTTGTTTGTTTTTTTATTGACATGTGGTCAGAAGTTATATACACTCACCACTGGCATGGATTTCATCGTAATTTTGGATTTTCAATTATTTCTTTGAGTTTTCAGGATGGAATAATTGCACAGCATACATCTTTCAATTACTTACAAAAAACAAGAATTGGATGCACAAGTCTGAAATAATTTTTGATTTTTTCTAATTCACACAGAGTCAAAAGCATACATAAAGGCTCAAATACAGGCTCTTCCTTCTCTCGCCCCAACCAGTAGCGGCAGATGGCTGCCCCCTCCCTAAGCCTCATTCTGCCAGAGGTTTCTTCCTGTTAAAAGGGAGTGTTT